AAAACAACACAGGTCTGAGACCAAGGTCGATGTGCCTCTGCTGCCTTGGGGCCTGGGACATTTTGTACGTCACCATGGTCCCTCTCATCAGCCCTGTGTTTGTTGTATCATGCAGACACTATTTTTATAAGATAGAAACCAAGGCTTTTTTGCTCACTCTTAGATGACTCACAAGTAGTGGGCCTTCTACACTCCCTTGGGCTGTCGTTGTGTTTGCATAACTTGTTCTTTAAAACGTGATCTCGGAGAATACTCAATGTTCTGTCTACGAGGATTATGTTTTGTTGTTTAGGCATTTGTGTGTCTGTATGTTCATGTTTTTGCATTCACTGTCACCCTCTGCTCTTTGTCAATGCATGTCCCATGTATAGATGTGTATTTGTATGTTTTTGTGCGTGCAGAGGGTGCCCTCTGCCCTGCTGCGTGACTCCAGCCCCCTCCTGCCATAGCCCCCCATCCTTCAGATGAATCCCCCCCCGGCGTGTCCTGACCTTTGGCTGTGTCAGACGAGCTACTCATTGCTCACTCAAATCTGAGGCTGACTGGCTAGGAGAAATAATAGGTGACTCACAGTCTTATTTGTGGATTTTATTGAAACTTACAAAACGTTTTTGCTATTGTTGCCACTGTGGGAAGCAGCAGTGACAGTTCTTTGAAGGTTTAGTTCACTAGGATTGAACTTCAGCACAAATAATGAATAGAGTCAAAGCAACACAAAGACTTTGCTAATTTCCAACAGAATAGTTTTTTCAAACTGGAACTTATGATACAGGAATAATCGCTAAGTATAATTGTGGCTTCATACAACTTGGGTCTTATTTTATCAGTTATGATAACAGGCAGTTCACAAAATACGAGCAGTCAGACAGGTTTTAAACAAAGTCCCAGTTTAATAAGGAGAGACTTATTCGAAGAGTACGTATTTATTGAGGTTAGCAATAGAGAAAGACTTCTGCAATTAGACTTCATTGATCTGAAGCATCCTCTTTAAGCATTGATGCTGAAGGTGGAGGAGTAAAGCAGATGGTTTATCTCCAGATAAAGTAAAGGAAGTGTTTGCAACCTGTCTGATCAAAAAGTTGTAATGCTATCACACTTCCATTTGGCACAGTGGGGCTGTAATTCAAATGATCACAACCTAAGGATCATTTAAATTCTTTCAGCACTCTATTTTTGGTGAAAGTACCATGAGACCAAGGTTGAGAAGATTGGCTGTCATTCACTTTGTTAGAGGAATCAAAGGTAAGACAACATTTCCTGTAAAACGTGTTGCTTCTGCCCACAAATGGATGTTTGCTTCTAACATCCCAATCCTGATGTTGCTCTACATTAGTTTGTTCACTTTTTTAGTTTACTTGAGGACAAACATGACACTCTGAAAGTCTGCCTGATCTGGGCCATAAAACAATTTCTCTTTACAAAGTGATATACAGAGGCTTACAATATGTACACTAATGGCTTAAAATGAATGTTTGAAGATTGATGATGAAAATGGCGTATTTCTTAAATGTCATTGCTGTTAAAAAATGCAGAATTGGTGTTTTGTAACTTTTGTGGCGAGTTGCCTCCACCAGGAGCTGTATGTGTAGTGTTCTTCCCAGATGTCATGCCTATAATCAGTCTAACAGGCATGACAGAGCCGGCATGAAAATACCCCAATTATTGACCAGTGAGAGGGTCCCCGTGGTTTTCTCGCAGTCAGTGATAGAACTATCACTAAAGGCTGGCAGGAAGGAAGGTGTGCAGTAAGAAAAACCGCAGCAACTGGAGACAGTCCGTCAGCAATCGCAGAGCTACTGTCATCACCCAGTGTGTCCATGTGACAGTTAGACAAGCAGCCAGTCATGTGGAGAGAAAAATGCCTCCCATGTGATGTTGGGGGAACTCTTAACAGTTTTCATTGTGTTGTATTACGCAAGATCAAACACGCTAGGAGACTCGCTGTCATCCTCATTATCATCATGGTCATTGCGAATAATAGCAGTAAAAGCCTTAGTAATACTTTAGTTGAGATGGTTGAGGTGAGTCAAAGCCCTGAAGGATTTGTGTGCCTGTCTTCTTGTGTCTTTGTTTTGTATGAAAAAGGATTCCTCTTTTGGGAGTCCCTTTAACTGGTTTGGCAGTTTTTTCTGACTGTTAACAGAAAACTTGTAATTGTAAATGTCTTTGTAATTGTAAATGTCTTTTTTTAAATCTTGAGTGAATGGTAACTGTATAGATACTGTATGTGGGTTCTTCAATTACCATCCTTGCAAAATGTCTGTGGACGTGTAGGGCTGGATATTGCAACTCAGTACCTTTTTGCTAACAATTGAAATGTGTCACGTAGTACCGACTAATGAACCGTCAAGTACCAAAAGTTGCTTTATCAGATTCTTGTTAACATATTCTTTGTTGATATAGTTCCTGATTTAAAGGGGAACTCAGTTAACTCAACACAGCTGACTCAGTTTGATAGTCATGAATAGTATTACTCAGCCAGTGAAACCAGTAGTAGGCTATAATGTGTTTCAGGGATATTGTTTTTAGGGCTGTTGAGTTTTGCTACATTATACTGGGAGGGTTTTATAACATTTGGTCTACCCTCATTAACATAACATAAACATTACATAATTTCAAATTATTACCATTTAATGGCCTAGCATTGGCATATATCGTTGTCATTTGCTACTGAAGCGGCACTAAATTGGTTCTGACCCTGCTCTAATTCAGTACTTTTAACTGTAATTTATGAACTGTGGAATATAAAATAGCTTGTTGGCTAATCAACTATATGCTCTCAACAGTTACAATGTAATCCCCCAGCGCTCCCAGCTGCACTGGACCCTTTTCACTCTGTCAGGCATACAATGAACAGGAGAACAGATGAACAGCGACAAGCGTGCTGGCCCTCACACCACAGTAAATCGATTGGTGGGGGACAAATATAGGTTTGTCTTATTACTGGATGCTGGGATGTGCTGCCACCAGTTCGCAACAGAAGGAAAACAAGGAGAAGGAGGTAGAGAGGATATGTGGCGATTAATATCCCCATCTGCTCCCTGCCGACTCATATTTCTCAGTGTAACAGCGTTGATATCTTCACTTATTGTGTTGTTCTCTGATGACAGCTGTCTTCTCTGCATTTGCAGTTTTCTTTTTCTGTATTTCATTTATTTAATCGGACATTAATCTCCTCTTGCATCTAACTTTTAGTGCAAATCAAATCTCTGTAAACCTACTTCTGCACAGATCTTCCATACACATGGAAAAAACAATGCCCTGCTTTTCATTGCCTCACAGCAGCAGAGCAACCTGCCCCCATTTCTGAGGTGCTACACCGGAGCGTGTTCAAATATTTAGTTTAGTGCCCCAGGCCAATTATTGTGTGATGGATAAATAATCTGTTTGTCTGCACCAAGGATGAATGATCAACAACCAAAAAACATCCAATTTTACAGTAGTAACACATGCTATTCAGTGACAGAGCTAGCCCTAATTTGGCCCACTTATTGTGTGAACCTCGCCCCTCCATCACCCACACACACCCACACAGACACGATGCTGTGGCAATGCTGCTGATGCGATTTGGCATTACTGGGGCACGATTCCTGCTGAATGCCCTGAAAATTCCAGCCCCCTGCGCCCCCATCCCCATATTCTTGACAGTCCTCTCAGCATTCCCCCAGATCTGTTGTCGAGTCTCACCATCATGCAGTCACGCTAAGCATGATCATTTTGGGTGTGTACATTCTTCAATAAGTGTGAAGTCAAGATAGAAGCTTTTATGCCAAACTAGTCTTACAGTCTGCAAGCAGAGGATTTGGTGCTATAAATCATGGACCTCCACTGGGCTGCGTTAATATGATACCTGGGTATTGGAATCAATAGCAAAACGATACTTATTTTAGTACCTTAGCTTAAGGAATATGAACATCTACAAAAACCATTTCGATTTTTATTGAACAAAATATGGCAAACTTCTCAAATGCATCAATGTTTAATGTTTTCTAAACACAAGCTGCCTTACAGGAACCTTGCCTCAATAAAGTAATATAAAATTGGCAAAATAATTTCTTAAATGGAAACATATATCCTGGACACCAAAATATCCTGATTTCTAGTCCCTAGTGTGGGTCATTCTCTAAAAAAGCTGGATCCTCCCAAAATAAACCTTGTCCACATACCTTTGGACATATCATGCATATCATGATGAAATACATTCTCTGGAAATTCACTGGAGAAACTAACCAGTGGAGAACTATTTTTTTTTCTTTTTTCTGACCAATCACGTGAACTAAACCTGATCATTGATCACCCACAATCACATGAAAACAAGCATCTCCAACTGCCAGGGGATGTGCACGGCCCAGGACCGGAGGGCTCTGCAGCTGGTGATTAAAACTGCTTAGAAGAGCATTGGTAACCATCTCCCGAGCATCAGTGATATCAATGAGGTGAGGTGAGGTGCCTACGCAGAGCCCAAAGGATACTAAAGGACAGTACCCACCCAGCCACAGCCTGTTCACCCTGCTGTCTTCTGGGAAGAGATATAGAAGTTTCTGCTGCCGTTTCTGCTGCCGTTTAAACTCAAATTCATCCTCAGCACTGCTCCATTGAATGCAGTTTATTTCTGTTTACCATTTTAACTATTGCTTTTATATTATATTACTGAATATTGTCTACTACGTAGCAGAAGGGAGTTACAAACTCTATTTCACTTTACAACCTGTTGTGACAAATAAATCTACCCTTGTACCTTGTACCTTGTATGATACAAAAACAGAGGTATTGCAGGGCTACATGTATAATAATATAAATGGTTGCAGACCTGGCTTTGTGCATTGGCTCATTGTCATTTTGTAACAAGAAGGGACCTTCCCAAAACTGCTGATACTTGGAGTCTAGTCTAAGCCATGAAAAATAACCCCAGACCAAAAGTACCGGAGCCATCACATAATTTTGACCATTACGAAAAGGAAATTGATATTTCTGTACAGTAATTTGTGTCATATTTACAGGTCTGTTGGGCAGCGCCTGTTTCACTGGCTCATCCCAGAACTACAGCACCCTTCTGCTGGAAGAGGATGCCGGGCTGCTGTACGTGGGAGGCAGAGGAGCTCTGTACGCGCTCAACACCTCCAACATCTCCACACCTGCAAACCTCATAGTGAGTGCCAAGAAGCTGCAAGCCTCAGATCACCACGTAATTGCCACTGTTAACAAAGAAACAGCAAGCCGGATTTCACAAGTTTTCTTCCATTTCCCAAGGAGGACAAACTAATAATAGCCTTAAGCAGATCGAGCAAATCCCTTTGTGCCCCTTCAATTTTATGGATATCGGATTAAATGCACCAGGCGTTTATTCAAGGGTTACTGAAGAGTCAGAACTCGGTGACGCAGCCAGAAAACTAAGTCGGCTGTCCTCTTTTCTCTCTTTCTGTTTATCACACATGTATACACACACTTGTTTTCTTCTCTTTTCTGTCCATAGATCTGTGTATTTAGCTATCCATTTTTCCCTCTCTATTTATTGAGCTAACTGAGTCATCCTTATTAACCCCCCACCCCCACCTCATTGTTTGCAGATTGATTGGGATGCGTCCCCTGAACAGAAGAAGCAGTGTCTAAACAAAGGCAGAGACAATCAGGTACAAGGCTGCACCTCTACTCTATTATTATTATTCAATCACTTTTTTTTTTGGTGAGAAAAATCAAAAGCTTAGTTTTAATTTATTGAGTTGTTAATGGACAACATAAATTACACATTTATGCTTTGTGATCTGCGGATTGCTTCTGATGGCAACAAAGTGGATATAATAAAATAATCAGATTCATTCAATATTTGCATAAGGAAGCCCCCATACATTAAGTTATGTTTATCTACTTGCTTATTGTGGAGCCAGAAATGACCTTTTTGTCTGTTCTTTACAGACAGAGTGTTACAATCACATCCGCTTTCTTCAGCGATACAATGAGACTCACCTGTATGTCTGCGGAACAAACGCCTTCAGACCTCTTTGTGCTTATATCGTAAGAGCTTATGTGTGATTTTAGTATGATTCATGACTAGACTAAAATTGAAATAAAATAATTAATTGAGCATTGTTTGTTTTCTCTCTGTGAGGATGCGGAGCGGTTCAGCTTCTCCTCAGGCCTTGAGGATGGCAGAGACAGATGTCCATATGACCCAGCAAAGGGATACACTGGCCTCCTCGTAGGTATGTCTCCCAAATTTGCATTTAATCTATTTTATATGCAGTGGGAATGGGAATGGCATTGGTTTTGCAAGTATTTGGTCATAAACCATGGTATTCGACAAATAAAAATGTGACCTGCTGGTGGCACTACAATACAGAGGTTTTACAATTCACCCTGATGGGAAAATTAATATCTGAGCTACTTTTCATGTCAATCCACCTGTAAGAAAAATAACCAAAATGTGTTCCCCTTGTTAACCTGCTGCCATTCCCCCTCTCGATCCTCTAGCTAAGAGAGTGCAGGGGTGGAGGGGTTGTTTTATGTTAGTGTAACGAATCGACTACTGCCAATAGACATTTCTATTTTTCTATAAGTCTATTTCAGGACTGCCAGGAGAAAGATACTCAATTTGTCTCAGACTGCTAAAAACATATTAGTTTTTAATGTATTTTTGCAAGGAGTAGGACTGTGCAGAGACACTGAAACATTCTCCTGGTTAAATTTGAACAACTATGACTAAATCACATTCTCCGCACAAAAATTCCAATTGTGGACCTTGAAGTTGAAGATGATAGACACAGTCTGCCTACTTACTGTGCAGTATGCCAACTGCTTTCATTTACATCTGATCTGACTCTGATTTAACTCAAACTTCTGTCTTCATCTATCCTCCACTAACACCCTTAACACCCTTGTGTGATTTGTCAATCAGATGGTGAGATGTTCACGGCCACTCAGTATGAGTTTCGCAGCTCTCCAGACGTGCGCAGAAATTTCCCCTTCCCCACGCTCAGGACAGAGGAGGCTCCCACCCGGTGGCTTCTGGGTAAATACAACACATAACAAAGAAGGGAGACAATCCTCAAATACATCAAGTAATGAAAAAGTGTGTGCCAAAAAATTGCAGACAGTGGTTTATATAATTCACTTACAGTTAGGAACTACATGAACCAAACCTCACTGCCATTCTGCACATTTTTAGATGTTTTGCTGTTACTACAAAAACTGATTGATTTGCTGAATGAAAATCATATCAAAAATTGCACTGCACTACAGCTCTAACTGGCTTAGTTGTGGTGATTCAATCATACTTAAAAGCTCCATCTTTAGTTTCCAAGGAGACACTTTCTTGACTGCTTATAGGTCTGTGTTTGGACATGTGGATCTGTGTGTGTGTGTGTGTGCAGAGGCAGATTTTGTAGGCTCTGTGTTGCTGAAGGAGAGCATCAACAGCTCCACCGGTGACGATGACAAGATTTACTTCTTCTTCACGGAGAGAAGCCAGGAGCAGATTGCCTACCCGAGCCAGACCAAGGTGTCCAGGGTTGCCCGAGTCTGCAAGGTCAGAGAGAGCAACTAGCCCAAATACTATTAACTATAATCATATTAATGGTTTCACTGGATTTTGGGAAGTTAATTCTAAAAAAAAAAGACAGAACTAACGTAACAGATTTATAATGCCTGCAAGGTCATGGACAGAAAGGGTTGAAAGGACAGAGGAGAAAAGTTGCCAGTATTTGAAGTACAAAAATAGTGCGATTATTTAATGCTTTACGTCACTGATACAGAGTGAAGTGTAAATGGATTTAGGCAGACTTTCTGTTCTTGATTTCTCTCTCCACCGCTCTCTTACGATACATTCAGTGTTGAATGAACCAGCAGTTGGGTGGCTCTAATCTTGGTTTCTTCACTGACGGCGGTTCTTTCTGTGCCACTGTTGCCAGGCAAACTACAAGTCCACCAACCTCCACCTCCAATAGTAAACCTTCTGCCTCTCTTCATTGCCATTTTGCCCTCTTTCACTCTTCCTCCTCCTCTTTTTCCCTCTCACCTCATTTCACTTGCGATCAGCATCCACGGTTTGGACAGCATGCCCAGCAACCATTCCTAGAGGTCTCTCCTCTCTTCCTTCCTTCCTGTCATTTCTTTTAGCCCTGCATGATGGTATAATTACCATCACAGTAAGCTGTTGTGTTGAAATTACTGTTGGCTCAAAAAGTGTCTAAAAGCTGGCTCAGAAATAATTTCACACATCGCAGCTGTGTATCACCTTTCGGGAGAATGAGAAAAGGCTTTGCATGAATGGATAAAAGAAAAAAGAATGGAATGAGAAAGCCACTTAGGAATTAAGTTTTAACATCCAATCAGAGTTAAATTGTACAAACCAAGCAATGCAAACTATGGGTATGAAATGCCACTACAGATTAAACTTAAGAGAAAGCAACATGTTTTACCAAAGATTTATGACTTAAGACCTGTGTTTTAGGTCTTCCTGGATTCCCTATTTTGTCACAATTTTTAGATGTGGAATATGTAACATTTCTGTGAATGCTCGTTATGCATTTATTCAGACATGACAGGAGCTTACGGAAAACAGCACATGCTTGTGCGATATTTTTCACATGGTATCGCTGCTAGAAAAATAGTTTTGACTTGAAAGGTAATACCCAGGAAGAGGACAGTTTTCTATTCTCACAGGCTACATAGCTGATGGATTTTTAAACTTTTGTTTCCTTTGAATCCTTAATTGTTGACCATTGTTCGTGCGTGGGAGGCTTGCTCCCGCTTCTCACAGTGAATTCGGTGAAAAAAACATTTCTTCAGCATTTATTAGGTAGATAATTCACTCTGCTGCCTGTTGTTCCAGCACCTCACAAGTATTTAATGACATGACGTTAAGTTAGGACTCACAACTCATTTTGAATTGAGAGATACATTTATTACAATGCTTTTAGTGAGTTAAACAAGCTGTGCGCTCATTTTGTCTCTGCATTTTTCACCTTGTGCTGCATACTGACATGTTTGAGTATACTTAATTAAAGGCACAAATACTGTATGCTCACAGACGATCAGTGGAATCATTTCTGAATGTTTTTGTTAGGATGTGTGTGGTTGGAAAGGGTTGGTGGACCCAAATGCTGGACACGTAGGCTGACAGGTACAGTTCAAAGATTTATTGTAAGGCGAACAAAGGGCGAGCAGATTTACTGGCAGAGTGGCTGAAAAACCAAATAAATCAAGGTAATCCAACAGAAATCCAAAATCCACAGAAACAGGGTAACACAAGGGGCAAGGCAGGAAAACCACTACAACACGAGACAGAGCGTCTACATGCTACAACAATGACCGAACAAGGACTAAGGGAAACAAGCAAAGATATATACACACACAGGGTTTACGAGCAGGGCAGGAGCAACAGAGGTGAGAGACATGAGGGGCTAATCAAGTACACAGGTAGGCAGAGTGATCATTGGGGGAAACAGGTAGACAAGCATATCAGAATGCCGAAACATAAATAAACATCAGACGGCAAAAACTAAAACAGGACAGACAGGAAAACCGAATAACAAACTAAATAACTAGAGCAGACTAAAGCAGAATAATCAACAGACTAATGAAACTAAACCGATCAGAACCAGACAACCAAACTCCCAACAAGACACACAGAGAAACACAAGACAGGATTGTGACAGTCTTACTTTTTCAGTCTCTTATACTCAAACAATTCATCTCCTCATGATTTTCTCTGCATCCAAAATAAGACATTTCTGGAAATAAGGTCTGGACTCCTCACCTCCTCTCTCTTCATCTGCGCTGTGGAGTTGTCAGAGCAGTCTAGAGTGTAATAACTCAGTCTGAACTAGGCCACAGCAGCATATGCAGATGTCGAGCTGGTCCCCAGCTCAGCCCCGTGGCAACCAGACACCACACTGGTTGGAGGCAGATCTACAGATAGCAAAGGCCCTGGCAGTAGCCTCTGGCCTGAAACCACTGAAGACTTGCCATTTTTGAGCTGCATCTACTTCCTCGGCAATCATGACCTATTTTCACAGAGAAGGGTGTAAATAACATGGAAACAAGGTCTTTTCAGGAAAACAAGAGCAGAAATCAATGCCATTATTTAATATTGGCCATTTTGGAGCTCCATTTATCTCCAGCAAAGAGAGAAAGGTTGTAAAATTTGTCTTTTTCTCTGCTATATCCTCAGAAATTTACTTCATGCCTGGCTGAGTTAATTTCCCCACAGGCACATCTTTATGGTGCTGTGCTTGGATTCTTGACTCTTTTCTTGGAAATGACAGCCTGATGACCCGGGCGTTGCTTTGATATAGATTGTAATCAGTGGATCCCTTTAGCTCTTTCCCCCAATAATGTCCGTCTCTATAAGAAATGTTTGTTATTTTCTCAGTGGCGTCCATATTATGACGCTGTTTTGCTAACCTCTCTGCCAACACCAACTCTCTAGAGGTTTTGTTCTGTAAAAAAAAACAAAAAACCCTAAGACCCAAAACCCATTTGTCTGTGGTCCTTCTCCTCTCTTGGTCTTTCACTAATACCAAAAATTGAGCTGGTATTATTGATGGAAGTGTTCCTAATGCAGGCTCTTCTGTGTTATGTCGATTTAAGCTACTTTGCCTTTTTGTGTGGGAGGCCGAGGCAGGCAGAGCATTTTGATGAACGACAGATATCTGCGAAAGACATAAATGAAGAAAGATGAAGCACTATAATTTCCAACAAACAAAGAGAAAAGTAGACTCCATCTCTTTTTGCTCTCTTCTAAATGAGGTGTGCTAAATTACTCTTTAAGGGAGAGATTTCTTGCAGCCTCGCCTCCTCCCAATGCTACCAAAATGCAATTAGAGCAAATGTGCTAAAGTAGGCTCTCAGAGCAACTATATCTCCTCATTTCCTCCTCCCCTCCCCTGTATAGTTATGTGTATTTTATGATTTGATTCTTATCTTTTTGTAGATGCATGCATTGGTTTTATAGCTTTGTGTCACTGTTACTACAATAGAGACAGATTAGTGGCCAATGATGTGTATATGAGTATATCAGTGGATGGATTTATGTAATTTGAAAGTGCATATGCCAGAATGTATCAGCTCAAATGAATTCATACAATCGTCCGTTCATTCGTTGTCCCTTCTGTGTGCAGACTGACTGGGGTGGCCAGAGGACCCTGCAGAGAAAGTGGACCTCCTTCCTCAAGGCCAGAATGGTGTGTTCAGTCCCTGAATATGAGCTACACCTCAATATCTTGCGCAGTGTGTTTGTCCTGCAGGGTCGAGATGCTCAAAGCAGCATATTCTATGGCATCTTTGGTCTGGAATGGTAAGTAAAATTCTGCTTTTATTATGCTGCTTTTTTCCCTTTTTATAGCTTTAAGGTTGGAAAACATCACCTACAGTGTGCATCATTTCCTCAAAGCCGTGAAAATGTGGTATCTAGAATTTGGAATAAAGTAAAATGGGTCTGAACACCTCACTGGCAGCTCAGTGTTTGCATGCAAGACTTGAGAGTAGCAACAGAAGCATACACTGAACAAAATTATAAACACTTTAGTTTTTGCCCCCATTCATCATGAGCTGAACTCAAAGATGTTAGACTTTCTTTATGTGAACAAAAGGCCTATTTCTCTCAATTATTGTTCACAAATCTGTCAAAATCTGTGTTAGTAAGCACTTCTCCTTTGCTGAGATAATCCATCCACCTCACAGGTGTGGCATATCAAGATGCTTATCAGACAGCATGGGTATTGCACAGGTGTGCCTTAGGCTGGCCACAATAAAAGGCTTCTCGAAAATGTGCAGTTCCATCACACAGCACAATGCCACAGATGTTGCAAGTTGATGGAGCGTGCAATTGGCATGCTGACTGCAGGAATGTCCACCAGAACTGTTGCCGTGAATTGAAAGTTCATTTCTCTACCATAAGCCGTCTCCAAAGGTGTTTCAGAGAATTTGGCAGTACATCCAGCCGGCCTCACAACCGCAGACCACGTGTAACCACACCAGCCTATGACCTCCACATCCAGCATCTTCACCTCCAAGATCATCTGACACCAGCCACCCGGACAGCTGCTGCAACAATCGGTTTGCATAACCAAAGAATTTCTGCACAAACTGTCATGAACTGTCTCAGGGAAGCTCATCTGCATGCTCGTCGTCCTCATCGGGGTCTCGACCTGACTGCAACTTCGCACAGCACATTAAAGAGGACTGGACCAACATTCCACAGGCCACAATCAACAATCTGATCAACTCTATGGATGAAGGAGATGTGTTGCACTGCATGAGGCAAATGGTGGTCACAACAGACACTGACTGGTTTCTGGACCCCACCCTCCAACCTCCCAGTACAGTGAAACTGCACATTTTCGAGTGGCCTTTTATTGTGGCCAGCCTAAGGCACACCTGTGCAATAGTCATGCTGTCTGATCATCATCTTGATATGCCACACCTGTGAGGTGGATGGATTATCTTGGCAAAGGAGAAGTGCTCACTAACACAGATAAATTGGTGAACAATATTTGAGAGAAAGAGGTCTTTTGTGTACATAGAGAAAGTCTTAGATCTTTGAGTTCAGCTCATGATGAATGGGGGCAAAAACAAAAGTGTATTAATTGACAATGAGAAAAAACAATAGGTCACACCCTAAGTGAGTTATAGAAACATAACCAGCTAAGCTGCAGAGCTGATTTGACAGTGTCAGAGGACGATGGCTGCCAGTGGAATATCTGGCAGTGAGTGTGTGTTTATGCTGATGTGCAGAGTCATGCTGCATAAAACTGTCCCATGGGTGTTTAGATTCTGATGGAGAGGATATCATTGCAACGGGACAGTAACACTATTTCTCTCTACAGACTGTTACACTTCCTTTTGCTGATATTCGATCTTAACCTACTGTCTTCTCATTCGCTGCAGAAACTGTTCTTTCTGTCTTGTCTTTCTACATGTTGTTTTTCTTTAAAAAACACACACCTGCGAGTAGTAGTTGTCACTATGTGTTAGACTCAAGCGTGCAAGAATGAGTAAGCCCCTGAGCTATACGGCTCACCAGTTTTAAAGACAGATTCTGGTTTCACTTCAGTCTCATTTTTCTCACTTGAATGCTTTTGAAGGCTGAGGTGGGCACACAATGGATTTAAGAATGTGACGCAGACATTTCCCCCCCATTACTAATCTCACCTTTAGGGCTTAAGATTTAGCGTCACCTGGTTCCCAACTCATACTGTACATGTTCCTGTCACATACCTTTTCTTTCACAGGTGCTACACCAAAACCACAAATGGGGGCACATTATATATGACTCACAGGGAGTGGATATTTCAGTACTGTGAGTGTGGTGTTGAAAAATCTGCAAAACAAATATTTCCTTCTGGAGTGGATTATGGGAGTAGCTACCGAAGATAAAGAGGGAAAATTACACCTGTCTGTGGCGCCACTCCCACATGTCCATACTGGACAAATTGATAAGATCCATGAGGGAAATGAGCATAAAAAAAAACCTTCACCACCTTAACACCAATGTTTTTCAGAGAATGGATAAGAGCTCCCAGCAGCCTAGTTATCTTTTTGCCTGTCATTGGCAGTTTATAGTCTATGATGTATCTATTATGATGTATTTGAAATATGATCTGGGTGGCAGTTGCTCCCCAGATAATAACTTCTCCATGTTTATCCAACTTTGAATCATTAATCCTGAGTTTGTCCTCTGGATGTGTCTTTGGGGTGGGGGCGGCGGATTGTCTTTCAGGAAGAATATCAAAGCATCTGCTATCTGTCAGTACGCCTTCTCAGACGTGCAGAAGGCTTTCGAGGGGCCATACATGGAAGTGCAGGACTCAAAGTGGAGAGAGTACACAGGGAAAGTTCCAGAGCCAAGACCTGGATCTGTAAGTTTCTTCTATTAAAGTCTTTCTACCATCATTAGTATTTAATGTCCCAATCTTTCCTCTGTGATAATTCTGTCCCTCATCTTTCCAGTGTATAACAGATCTGCACAGGTCCCAGGGCATCAACTCATCACGAGACCTCCCAGACAATGTCCTCACTTTCGCCAGAAGGCACCCACTGATGGCCAGCCAGGTGCACCCAATAGGGGTGCGCCCTCTCATGTTCAAAAGGAGTGTCAACTATGTCAAGATAGTCGTGCACAAAGAGCCGGCGTTGGATGGAAACATTTATACTATTCTGTTTTTGGGAACTGGTGAGTTTTACAGCTGAACAGTCAACAAATCCAGTGAAAAGACTCACTGGTAATGCATGGGCTTGGGGCTTAGTGCCAACAGACAGGGTACTTTAAGGAAAAATAGACAGGATTTCATATTCTGTATTGCCTCTCAAGGTTATCCAAGTGTCTTGTTTGACAAGATTGTATCTTTTCTTACAGATGACGGATGGCTACACAGAGCTGTAGACATCGATGGAGAAATGCACATCATAGAAGAGCTGCAGTTGTTTTACAAACCTCAGCCCATAGAGAGCATGGTCATATCCTCTGCTCTGGTATGTATTCATGTATGTAGAGTTAACATAGCCTATTTATGCTAAAGTGATGCAAATGAAAACATGCAGGCTAATGAATTTCCTACATAGAATAAGAGTGTAAACATACTTCTTTTTTTATTTATGAATCTGTAAATTAGAATATCTTTTAAGAATATTTCAGTCCCTAAGTGTTTACAAAAGTCAAAAGGAAAAAGGTTACTAATGTGTGAACAGTAGAAACAGATAAATACTTTTTCTTTTGTTTTACAGAGGAGTATCTATGTTGGGTCCCACTCTGGAGTCGTGCAGGTACCGATGTCATCCTGTCAGAGGTACACTTCCTGTTATGACTGCGTGTTTGCCAGAGATCCGTTCTGTGGCTGGGACGGGAATGTGTGTGTGGACATATCTTCACATGCAAACAGGTGAGGAAACACATACTTGTTACACCAACAAATGCACTTTCCCAGCGAGGAGGCAAACACAGCGACTGACTCACAGTGTTTGGTAAAAAGTAGTGGAAAACTGGGTAAAACAGAGATTTGGTAGAAAAAGAACCAGATTCTTGCTGAGACAGATACATTTGCATGGCTTCATCGTAGACCCTGAGTCTAGTTTTCCCTAAACCCCTCTGCAGTTCCACCTCTTTCTTCTGCTTGTTGGTGTATCTTCATTTACTCCTTAAACTCATTTCCCTCTATATATTCTAGCTCCTGTTGCATGACAACAACTGACTCTGTAAATTAAAAAAATGGCATTTTTTAGGTTAAATATACTTACATTAGACTCAAATGTTGCCAAGAATAATTAAATGTCATGCCCTCCACGTTATTAATATATTAGTCAAATAATGTGGTGAACTGTTAAGAGAAAATCATGCCATGATATTGTAATACATCATTATTGTTAGACCTTCTTGAAATGAGTAATGAACCTACAAGCAGAAATTAATATTTATGACACGGTGTACATTTTTGCATTACATGACCTTTTTTGGTTGATGTTTATTTCTTTCTTCTGAGCCCAGCAGCATTACCGGAGTCTAATTCATTATTTATACAGCTTATTTTCCCTTCTAACAGAATTTCAATGAAAGCAGGTCTAAGACAATGTAGTCGACCTGGATTTTTTTTTTCCATCAGCTCTGTTCAGCACAGCAGGAGCTTATTCAGAATGATTAGCCAAAAAAACATTTGGATTTCAAAACAAACTTTGAATCAAACTCGCAGCTAAAACAGAAAAGAGGATATTTTCCACATATAAGTCTCCATGTTTAGCATTTATGCGCAATATACAAAGCTGTCATAAATGGTTGTAATGTTGTTGTAAGCAGCTGTAAGGACAGTTTAAAGTTTACAGTATTTGTCAACAATTCTATATATTTTATATTTATACAACTCTGTTTTACTATTTTATAGTCTGTTTATTCACCAGCCTCCACTTAATGATGCCCATAGGATGAGTTATATTTAAAATAGTTAAATACAATAGTAAACACTCACATCTGGTGAAAAATATATTGTATTTGGTCGAGATGGAGCTAATTTTAAATATTTTATTCTGTTGAGTAGTTTCATCTACAACAATGCATCATTTATCAAATGTTTTTTTAACTAATAACCTTAGCTCTTAATAAGTGTAGTGGAGTAAAAAGTACAATATTTCCCTCTGAGATATAGCGGATTAGAAGTATAAAGTTGCATAGAAAGTACTCAAGTAAAGTACCTCAAATTGGTACTTACTTACAGTTCTGTACTTTCCCCCACTGCTTACTGAGATATTAGATGGCTCAATATAAATTAAAACCAGAGGAAAAACTTCATTAACAAGTGCATATTTATTCCAAACCCAAACACACATACTCAAATACATACACATTACTTTGGCTCACGCACTAGAGACTGTTTTGCCTCTCTTCACTCACTGTGCATGAGTGAGTAGAAGACATCTTAATCTCCATTATGGAAGCAGACACATTAGCGTCTCATGTGGATTTGTCTGAGGGCAGCAGCACAGTCGGGGAAAGCAGCAAAAATAATTGAATGTTAATGGGAGATCTTACACAAAACAACACAAGAGAGTGAAAAGCCTGCTGTCTAGTGTGTTTTCTTCACCAAGGTTGTTGGAATACAGAAAGGGAGATAGAGGGTGAAGCTGTGTTTTCTGTTTTCTGTCTTCTGTCTCCGCTGTTTGTCTGTAACTCATTCTTATTGCTGCCATTACTCACTTGAAAAATATTATTTTTTATCTAATAAAGGTTAAATACTAATTTTCAAACTATTACTATTACTACTATTTCAGGTCAAACCTAACCCAGGATATCTTGAGAGGGATCAGGGGTTGTAAGGAGAATTCAGGAAATGGTACGTGTTACAATGCATGCACACGCACACACACACACACACACAAGCGCATGCACATACTGTACATCCATTACGTAATGCGTAAAGTTTAGTACTTTATTTTACCTCCCATCCATTCCCCGCACACACAGATTATGAAGTGAAAACACACACTCTTCTTTGCTCTGCCTGAAAACTCAAGCATTTAGCAGCTATTAAGGGATTTCATAGGTGTACGCTCCTTACTCATCCCCCAGGTCCCACCGTGCACATTTTAATCAGTCCCTCTCTTGCTGTAGGTCAAGCGGTCGTGCTGGCTGCATTGCAGGGCTCGCCACATTTAAAGAGGCTTATGAAATGTGATGGAAAGTGATGCTGAAAGGTTGAGCCGCACAGGTTGCTCACCTACACTTTGAAAACGTAACTCTGATGACCTGTTATCTCGTTCTATATGCATCTCTCTGTCCTGCTGAATTTTTGTCATGCTCTCTCTCTCACCTTCACCACCCCTTTACCTCGCTCTCTCTACCTTTTCTTGCTCTTGCTTTGTCTGTTTTAAGCTGCATCTCATGTCTGTTCTCCTCTCTTTCTGTTGCTCAGTGGTGCATCGGAGGCGTTCTGTGATGTCAGGTGACGATGTGCTACTCCAGTGCGAACTGCGCTCCAACCTGGCAGCTCCGCGCTGGACACTAAATGGCAAAGAACTCCAGGGGTACGGCCTCAATTCAGGCTACCGCATCGGCACAGATGGCCTCCTCATAATCGGAGCTCGTGCCCAACAGAGCGGGTCTTACCGCTGCTTTGCTGTCGAGAACTCTGTCTCAGTCCTGGTTTATCTTTACACGGTCAAGGTGCACACAGACTCGTACTTCCCTGTGGAGCCCACAGCAACAACTAATCCCACTACAGTTTCCAGCCTGACTGTCTTCTCCACCAGCAACCCCACTGAGCAGCCTCTGCCATCACCTCCGGCCCCGCAGCCTCCAGGACCTGAGTTCCAGACCTACAGACACATGGAGGCCGTGTACATTTCCTTGGTGGCGGTTCTCGGAGGGCTTTGCTTGGTGTTGACTGTGGTGCTGCTTTATGTGAGCTTTTGCACCAGACGAGCCCCTCATAATCGAAAGTTCTCCCAGCAGGGGCTGCAGGTCCTGGGCGAATCTCAGAGAAAGAGGAGCTCCCATTTTGAACTTAAAACCATCTCCAGCCACTGCAATGGCCGCCAGGGTCGTCGGTCCATCTCGGTGCCAACCTTCGGGGACATAGGTGATGGCTTCCTCCAGATAGTTCCAGGTGAGGGCTCTCCAAGCAAAACGCCTCCTCCAGCCCCTCCTCTTCCTATGCCACCTCCGCTGCCCAACATGGACTACGCTAATGGGCTGTCAGCCACTCTACCCAGCGTGCTGAGGAAGATGAACGGGAACAGCTACGTGCTGCTGAGGCAGGCCGACCCCGAGGGCATGTCGCCGCTCTACCACTCTTTCACAGAGGAGCTCAACAGGATCCTGGAGAAGAGGAAACACACACAGCTGGACCTGATGCAGCCAGATGAGAGTTCCATCTAGGACACCCTTCTCAGTCTTTGTCCCACAGTTATTTATTTTTACCCCAACGGCGACCCGTAGTTGTGGGGAGAACTGACTGTTGTATCTGCTGTTATTAATCCAGTGTCAGAGTACCCGCAGGCCGTGTCCTAACCTGATCTGAAATGTGCAGCCTCCTGTGTCTCCCATGACAAGTGGCCCATGATTTCACTTCAACATACAAACCAGAGACTGTTGTTCAAAAAGTGGAGCTGTGAAAAAATTGGCCATAGACTGCAAATTACCACGAGTAGGGAGCTTAATGATGCTACCTCGGTGTATACACTCTGGAGACTTGTGAAAGATGGTCGTCAGATGACACAAAAAGACAAAGGTGCAAAATGGACATGGGTAAAAGAAATCCGGCCAGAAAGTGATCACATATTTTTGAGACTGTGGAAATGTTCAGGAAGTTTTTAGTGCCATGAAATATTAGCCTTATATTATAACAACAATATTAGTGATACTCCACCCAAAAGCTGTCTGTTGTGCATTGTTACATGGCATGTTACAGTATTTAAGTTATTGGCCTGCCTTCCACCAAACATGCCTGCAGCCCTACGTTTTGCAAGTTTGACATGAGGATGTTTTTAAACAAGCAAATGCAAGCATCCCACCGGCAGGACATACAAGCAAAGAAGAAGATTATGCTACAAGGGGAGTTTCATTTTTTTAACAGTGAAGACCTGTCCAAATTGAAACCCATGATAATGATCCAACTAACTATTGTTTTTACAATCAATTAATCTGACAGTGATTTTTTTTTCAATTCATTAAAAATTAATTTTAAAAAGTCAGAAAATACTGAAGAATGTGCATCACAATTTCCCAGCCCAAGGTGATGTCTTCATATGGATGGTATTGTTGACCAACACCCTAAACCCCACCAAATATTTAAATTAAAATAATAATAAATATGTCCATGATAATTTTACGTCCACCTTTCAAGCCCAAAGGAGGTGTCTGTTTGATATAAAACATTTTACGTGGAGTATGGCCTTACAGTAAGAAGCCAGTTCTGTTACAATGTATGAGAGCTCAGGTGGTAAAAACAAATCATAACAGTTAAATTTATTCAAACCACTCTCTCCTCATTTCCCTCTGTTCTCATGTAGATGGCAATAATTACATCAATGCTACAGCTGTTAGTAGCAATGTGTTGTGGCAGTGCCAATGGAAACACCTGTAGCAAACTGTGAAACAGTTTGGATTTCTTTTTCCTGGTGTCTTTCTGTTTTTAGTATTTGTGTGAGAAAAGAGATACAGTTGTTTGAAAGGCAGCTTGAGTAGTCTTATTAAAGACCAGTAAAGGAGTCAGTTAGTTTGTGGTCAGACTGATTGAATTAACTGAAGACCACAGACTGGCTTTAGGGCTCAGGAGGATGAGAGGAAACCACAACAAACACTGAAAACAAACGGTTGAGATACCGTAAAGAAAATGCTTATTAGCTGTTTTATATTTAAACAGGTAAGCACATTATATTGTCTTTGTCAGACTGAAGCCCTGTTTTTGGATGGTCAGGCATCAACATTATAGTTTCATGCCAACTATTTTAAAGACTGATGAAAACACTGGATTCTTAAAAACGATGTTATAAAGAGACAAAATGTTTTTCACCTAGTGTGAATTACATTGTTGGACAATTGTTGGTCCTCTGCTGTGAAAATGCAGCTGGTTGCTAAATCAGAGTAGAGAGGACCTTCACACATGCAACCCACAAAGGCATCCTCCGTGCTGACCTGACATCAGAGCAAGACAGTATTTCCTTAGCAAGGTGAACAGCACTATGATTAAATAGCACATGTATAACTTAAGAGGGATGTGACAGAAATGAATCTCTGAGTGGTTTGTAAACGTGTCACGGGCCAGCGGTAAATAAAGATCTGTCTTTCCAGCAAAATGTTGAATCAGCTCTTGTGGCAGTGGCTCAGCAGCAGCCCGCTGTGGTGACTCGCAGCGTGCATTTGTCAGAGCATCGCTGACAGTAACAGCAGTACTTGGCTCACCTCCACGAAGAGAGGACGGGGGCTGCATGTCTGTTTGCCTAGAGAGCTGTCGTCTCTGCAGGTGGAAGCAGACAGAAAACATTTGACCTGAGTGTCCTGGTTAGCCATGCAGGAAGCAGATGATGATGCAAAGAGGCAGGAGCTATTTTGCACTTATAGGTATGCTTGTCTGCCTTGTAAGCCACTTTATTCTGACCCTTTTATGATTGAGAAATAATCCAGAAAATGAACTCTATGCAGACTAATAAATGTCCTGGTCTGGATGGAAGAAATTCTTTCTGACTTAAAGCCTCAATGTGATTCAGTCAAAGTGCTTTTCCTGGGGCTCTTTTTTCAGTCTCCGCACAACAGATTTTGACACTTTTTGTGTGTACAGCGGAGTGCACTTGTGGGAAATATAAATTGAATTTAGGCAAGAGTGAACTTCTGTGTTTCCCAAACTTTACCGTTTCTCTGTTGCTCAAATGGAAAATTGTTGCCTGGACATTCGACCTGACATGTGTATCCTGTCTAACCATTCAGAGAACAGAGGACGAAACAACTGTGACATGTTGGCAGACACTACTTTGCACTTGCATGTTTTCTACTTTTTTTCTTGTCAGCCTTTTTAGCCCTTTAGCACTTGTTTTCATTCTCATCTTCATTCCCCCCCCCCCCTCTCCCTCTCTGCTGCTTCTTGTTTTTCCATCTCATCACCTCTGCATGACAGTATCATCTATTACTCTCACTCTCTCTCTCTCTCTCTCTCTCTCTCTCTCTGTCTCTTTCTCTCAGTCTCTCAAGGACCCTGCTGAATTTACAAATGGCGATCATGGCCCCTAATCCATTAGAACCAGTTTTCAAAGAGCCCTAGAGTTTGTGTTTGTGAAACCACTGAATATTCTGCATTAGTTTAGTTTGCATTAGAGGTATTGTAAATGCTGTTCTAACATTTTTTATCTGATAATATGATTTGTGAGATAGTTTTCATTGCACACATTTCCCATAAGAATCAGACAGCTTAAATACTGTATGTACTAAAAGTGCTCAGAAAGATTAATGAGGACTGTTAATTCAGAGAGAGTAATGGTTTTCTGATCCATGACAATTGATTCATGGGATTTAATTTTATTGAAATCAAAGTTGTAAAGAAATGTTCTTGTTGTGTTACATTTTATTACAAGTTTAAACTTTGTAAAATGATTGCAGTATCTACTGAGTTCAACATGTTACTGTACTTAACCATGTATTATATAAAAGTTGTGGACAATCCTTAACATGTTGAAAGCTTCATCTGAATCTCAGACCATTGCTGCTGCTTCATTCTCACTTAAGGACAATCTGTTTACAATGACACTGGCTCTGGACTGTATTGTACTATGGACTTTAGATAAAAATAGCTGACATATTGGCTACCAGTTTTACACTCATGTTGTTTCTGTACACACACACCCACATTGAAGCAATTGTTTTTGCAGATTCAATAACATTAGTCACATCCTGCTATGTCAATATGCAACATGCAGTATATTTTATGTAGATGTAGATTATTTCTCTGGGTGTTGGCCAAAGAAACTGCTGTAAAGTGCTGTTTGCACTGTTATTTTTAACTACTTTGTTAAAAGTCATGTAGTATATGCCTTTGTAAAGTGTGACACTTTCCATCAAGTTGGTTCTGTATGATTTTTTGATGTAGATAATGCATTTATCTCTCAGAATATAAGTGGCTGAATTGGCATCTTTGCTTCTTGTAAGATAGTTTAGCCACCTGAGCTGTTCACACAGATGAATTTTTTAATATTGTCTCTCATGTCTTATTTATTTAAGTTAATTAAATTTCTTCTTGCTTTTGTGCAGATGAAAAAAACTACTTTGCATTATGTTCAGCTTGGGGGGGAAATGTCAGTGTCAACAGCCCTGAGGGGAAGTCAGGAAATTAAATGCAAAACATGTTCACACCGAATCCTATTCTCAAGACACCATGATACTCGGTTGTTTTTTTAGCTTGTGGCAAGCGGCAAGGCCACTGTCCTCCCCTGGGAATGGAGGCCACATGATGCCAGAAGTCATTTCCATACATGTATGACTGACAGAGCAGAGGTATAACATAAGCTTGGAGGGGGGGATAAAATGACCATTTTGAGAGCAGCATTCAAGGCAGTAACTTAGCAACAGCATCTTTATTTAGAGCCTTTAATGTCCTAGCGTAGGTCTTGCATTGCCAGTTCCCATTAGGGAGAGCGGGTGTGATTAGAGCACAGTGGCTCTGATATCTGTAATTGGTGCCATAGATATATTAAAATGCAAGGAGTGAGTGTGAAACAACAGAAAACATTGTAACACCATCAGGAGGTGATTAAATTCCATATCTTTTATCAAAACGACCTCACTGTCCCTCCTGAATGTACCGATTTTACCTAAATTTGCTGATATGTTCAAAGATAATTTACATGTAACCACTTATATTGGCAAACCTTAAATGCAGTTTATATGCCTGTGGGCAAGGGCTTTCACATGCTTATCAAAAATGCAACTCAAGTACCGATATTTGGGAGAAAATGAGTGAAATCAGCATCAGTGTCCCGCTGCAGAGCTCGGCTACACTTTTTCTCCCTCATCACCATCCTCTGCAGTCATCTCACGCTCTTATTCTACATACTTTTTCACAGATAGCTTAACCATTTCCTGCCGCCAGACTAGTATCCATCAGTCAGCAGAAACAATTAATCTGTCCTGGGGGCACCTTTCACATTCACTCCATACAAGTCTGCTTATTTGTATTCACCTGACGACTAGTACTTGGATGTGCGTTGATTTTTGTTGAGGATCACAGATGTCATTTGTGGAGGAAAAGCAGGGTCAACCGGCATGCCTTTTGCAGTCAAAATTGATGAATTCAGGGTGAGAACTGCAAAGAAAGCAACGAGTAGCTTTGCCAACATCTGTCTTGTTGAATTTGAACAAATCACCCACTGGAGGAGTGTTAGTTTTCTGTTCCTCTTACAGAGGCGATACAGAGGACAGCTCTGTGCTGAAGGTTAAGACTTGTCCCTCAAGCAATCACACAACCATCTGTCATGTTCATTTAACATCATTTAAGGTTGTGCAGAGAGGAAACCTTCAAACATCAGTGTTAAACTGTAAAAACATGTACATTCCCCATGTCCTACAAATAAAAAAAGTGTACATCTGATGTGTGTTGTCTGTGAAGTATTTTAACTGCAGTTAAAACAATCAGACTTAACGATGCAGACAGCACCACCGCACTCAGTTTTGCTCTGTTGCTCTTCATTCTGACAAGCTGCTCAAATACATCTCAAAAGAAAATCTAAATTTAAACAGCAATGCCAGCATTTGCACAAAAAATACTTTTCTTTATTTCACACATCTGCTCTCATAGTGCTGCACTTTATTAAACAAATCTTCAAATAACCTTGAAAATAAAAACTGTTATCTGCTTTTTAATATGCCAGCTGACAGGTCTCTGGGGGATTCATGTAAAATCTATTCAAATGTGGCATTCAGAGCTGTTGCTGTGTGCACTTTCCTGCACCGCTGATGAGGCTTTGCTGCCACCACAAGACAGAAGGGCATGGTAAAAAATATTCAGTCGATAGCGGGGTCTTCTGCAGAATTGCACACACTGGAAAAGAGAACAACCTGACCTGTGATTTAATTGAGATTGCAGACACTTCTAAAATGGACATAATTATCTTGCAAGGGTAATCAGAAATTAAGCACAAATGGTCTGACGTTAAACTCTAGTTAGTCCTTATTCAGAGTCCTGTTTGTGTGGTCTGATGGGGCCGATAGATGGGGGCCGGTTGGTGAACGGGTGCCACTGGCCCTGGATACTGGGGTTGTCTGTGTGGAAGGGCTTGCGGATGCGGATGATGTCCAGGCCAGACTGATTGGTCAGCTTGGTCAAGAGCTCTGAAATCTGCGGAGATGTTTTGCTTGTGACAATTTCTTCCCTCACGTTGCCGTTTACTGTGGGAAGGAAAAAGAGGAAATGAAAAGCATGAGTGACTTTAAAATGAGAAGAGCTGCATACTTCTCCTATTGACATGTTGTAAATTGCCTGTTGTAAAATATAACAGTGTCAAGAAAAACATATGACTCTGTGTGACATTATTTAACAAAGTCATCTGAAACCCACAGTGGCATTTTGACTTCTGTATGAATAGAGGTCTCAGAAAAAACAGTGTTATACTGCCACCTACAGTATCTAGAAGTAGTAACAAATATAATGCCCTTAATACCTAAAACTGTAGTTCACTTTTCACAGTTTCTTATACATTTATTGAAAACCCACAGAACCTTAACAAATGTATTATGACCCTGACCTTGACCTTTCAACTGTAAAGCATGCCTATGATTTTGAACAAGTAGCATTAGGATGTTTTAGTTTGGCCAAAATGTGTTTTTAATAGACCTATTTGCTTCAGAAGTCTACTGAATATTTGATGATGTCAATAATAATCAAAAAGAAAGGATTTCTTTGTTGTTTGTTTTAATGTATGTAGGCTACCAGAACTCACTGGAAGGCAGTATTGATACTGAGTGGATTTTCCTGGTGTAATACAATAAAGTAAGTATTTTAACTAAATAATTCACTAAACACGGTATAAATAAAAATTTAATGAGAACACAGGAAAATCATGCACCAAGTATTCATGTGGCAACACTTTATTTTACAGGCCCCACAGTTAAGTTTAATATCCTAGAAAGAAGCTGATATGAGACCAAAAATTCTTGTGAAATTACCATATAATTTGATACTTATTACAAGTAAAATTGAGACAGTGTTCAACAGGCAAGCATACTCAGTATCTATAATGATAAATGAACATTTATTGGGTTTTAAGGATATCTGCATGATTTTGCAGTCATCAAGATTTTTGCAGTTATTTTAAAGAAACTTCTGTGGAAATCAACAGCTGCTTATAAACTTAGCACAAACAGCTAAAAACACAACTGCCTCAGAAATGTATTTCACTGTGATCAGTAGCAAATTACACAGTTCTTTCCACGAAACCTTCTTGAAAATATTTAGGAAATTATGGGACCTGTAAAATAGAGCATTGATCTACATATTAAAACATGTGCTAGAATAAGGACAGAAATTCAGGATTAGTCAAATGTCCTATCAAAACACAAAGTCTTGAGCACTTACAGTATTCTGCAACTATTTTGGGTATCCTGCATGCCTGAGGAGACACATACACGACAGTTGCAGGGTTCTTCTTGGCATAATCCACCACTCCCTCTTCAATAAACTCCCTGCAAAATAATAAAAGAAGACAAAGATGCTGTTGTCACTCTCCTCTTTGACCGGTACACTTGAAACTGTGTGGATTTAGTGATGACGGTGTGTTGATTGTACACAGTATCAATTCCCAGTGTTTTATCATACAAGTGGTAAACAAGAATATGTGATATTGTCTTTTGTTAGTCTGCAACTGATCATTATTTTCATTGCTGGCCAAGGTGAAGAACATTTATTCAAGCACTATACTTACCACAAGTACAGTCAACAAATAAAGTATCTAAAAAATAGGACCAATGATTATTTTCATTATCAATTCCTGCTGATACATGGTCAATTAATGTAATGTAAATGTAAGAAAATTGCCCACATCCCAAGATAACACCTTGAAAATCGTTTATTTTGTTCATCCAAAAACCCCAAAAGCCAAAGATTTTAAATTTAAAATTACATAAAAGAGAAGAAAGCAACACATCCCCACATTAAAGATAGAGCCAAAATATTTTTGCTTGAAAAATGTCTTTAAATTATGTCAGTAAATCAACTGGCAAAAAAGTAACTAAATAGCAGTAATACATGTACTAAGAGGGGCAATGTTTCAGCATAATGTGTACTTTTACTTTTTTTTATGTTTCAATCAGAATCAGATTTATTGGCAGGTAACGTTTCATTTTCACATAGGAGGAATTTGCCTTGGTACTGTACATATTGGTGCTTAAAAGTACACATACATATAGAAATATAAATATAGAACAAGTAAAGAGATCAAAATGTGCGCAAGTGTGCAAAACAATCCAATAATACTATAATACTATAATCCAATGCTACAATCCAATAATACTATAATACTAATTACAAAAAAATGCAAAAAAACCCCAAGCAGGATATTTAATAAGGATGGAAATTCACATGTGAGCAATAAAGAAACAGAGCAATTAGCAAGTTAACAGTTAGCACAGTTCAAGGTTATAGTTTAAATACATTTATGTAGTAATACTACTGTAATAATACTTCAGTATTAAGGCAATACATTCACTCGTAACTTCTAAGGAGTTTATATGAATGTATCTTTTATAAATATCTACTGTAGCACCATTTTTGTTGCGTCTCAGTGGAAAACTGTTTCAATATATACACATATCAACACTTCACAGCCCTTTTTTCTTACCTGACTCCCAACGAGCTCTGTGCATTTCTGGAGAAGATGATGGAGATCCGTTTCAGCTGGCAGACATACCGACCGACACCGTTCTGCAGAACACTCTGAAGGAAGCGGCTCGGTGTCCCTCTGGATGTCATCGTCCAACCGTCAGTTAGCGGTTATATTATAATTCAGACTGTTGGTTAACCCGCTGGACACAAATTATCAACCCGCTAAAGACGCTAAATAGCAACAACACTCACAGAGGACGACTTGACGGGCGTGTGTACAGTGCGGTCCGTCGACGATGGGTTCCGGAGTGAAACATATAACTGATACAACCGTTAAAGAAAATACGATTTAATATAAGTATATATTAATAACACGTCTTGCTTCAGCAAGTTAAAATGTTGAATGTGATTTTTGAATTTTGTAATAAGACAAAAGTACATGGAAAGCTTTTACAGTGTTCAGTACCTTTCGGTGTATGTTTCACACGGATTTGTTTTGAAAACGCACCGTAAAGCCCGGGTAAGAGGAGCATGGAGGAAAATGAGGGCAGTCTGCAGAGCCAGTAAGCTGGCGTTTGTACGGTTTTGCTTTTATGAAACTTAATTTAATTTAGTTAAGGATTTGAAGCATATTCAGTCAACGTCCGTTTAATCAGAAGTAACGTTTTTTTTTGCCTCACTGTTTGTCCTTTGTTTGACCAACGTTAGCTCAGCTCACCCCAGGCACATATTTGTGACTTTGTTGTTGTATGCGGCTATTTCATCCTATTTTTATGCAGGTTCAATGTCCTAACCAGATAACTCATGTGGAGGAGCTTGCTGCTGAAGGGCACCGCCTGTCTCTCGCAGGTGGCAGCCCCGAGGTTTCTCCACCAAAGACATTTTTCACCCATCTGTGTGAGACTTCTCACTCAGAGGGTCCTCCACAGACCTTCTGAGGCTCCATGTGGTTTAGAGATTCAGGGTAAGGCCTGCTTCCCGGCACACAGTGGGAGCAGGGCTTATAAAAAGGATGCTAAGTCTACTGTAGAGTTTACTTTGAGCCCCATCACAGTCACAGACATCAAACAGTATCTGCGCTCCAAAGACATTCCCTTCCACGATGGCTACAGCTGCCTCCACATCCAGAGCATCTTTGTCGAGTCGTCTGCCAGGAAGGACAGCTTCACCTTGTTCATCGATAAAACCACCGGGCAGTTTCTGTGTAAAGACACTTTGGTGGAAGGCAGCTGGGAGGATCTCCAGGACTGTCTGGAGGTGATGCAGAAGGAGGAGCAGGACTTCCTCAGCCCTCATGTGCTATTGGGGTATCCAGAGAGTGTGGAGGAGCAGGAGGAGAGGGAGAGAGAGCTGAGGGAGGTGCAGAGGATCTGGTCCAGCTCTGTTCCCTTCACTGATGTCCCTGAGGACGAGGCTCAGCTCATTAAAACCATGTTCAAGGTACTGTTGAGTGTGAATTAGTGAGAGATGTGCTGGTGTATCTAAAGGAACACGAGTGATCTAATCTTATAGTAATAAATAAAAGGAGATATGTGAAGAAGTTAAAGGTGTAAGAAGCAAACAAGCCAACATTTGCATTTTATAAATTAATATATTATTATCCATATTATGATCTTTGAATGTGTAGATAATATCACATTCTTAGTGAGGATTTTGCCTCTGTAACTGTTGTAAATACTTGTCATTTAGATAAATTGTGAGTAATAATCTAAAACTTAATTTACTGTATAAATATTCAAACTAATTCCTGCAATGTTCTGAACAGAATAATATGCAGTATTCACAATCAATAAACAAGAAAAAGACTAGTTAAGACAATAAAAGACTAGGAGCTGACAAGTAAAAATTTTAAGAAGTGACAAAATAATATGAACAGAACAAAACAATAAAACATACTGACATATGGTTAAACATTTAAATCGTAATATTTTAGATTTATTTTCAATTGCTAGGAGGCCTTCAAACTCAAAAACAAGTTCAAACACAACAGGGATTTAAAAGTTTATCAAATGGAAGGCAAATCAAAAAAGTTTATTATCACCATAAAAAAGTAGGGAACATATTGTAACATCTGGAGGTTATTGTCTTCACAGAATGATAAGGTTTATCAATGTTTTGTTTCAGATCACAAAGGTCTCTAATGCAACCCTGAAGAAGTTTGGTGTTAGGGTCTTCAAGCCTACCAAGAGTCTGGTTTTCCCATGGTTTGGTGGACCTGACTGCTCCCTAAAGGGTGTGAAGCTTCTCTCCGCCCAAATCACAGAAACTGAGAAAGTTACTTATAATGAAGCTACACTCCCGAAGTATAATTCTTACTACAACCTGTTTGGCCTCCCGCTGGTGGGCCGTATGGACTCGGAGGTGGTGTTGACTGGACATGAGCTGGACACTCTGGCTGTGAGCCAGGCCACAGGACTCCCCAGTGTTGCTCTTCCACGTGGGGTCAGCTGCCTTCCGCCGATCCTGCTGCCTTACCTGGAACAGTTCAAGCGTGTGACGCTGTGGCTGGGAGGCGATATTCGCTCCTGGGAGGCGTCAAAGATCTTTTCACGCAAATTGGGTCTGAGGCGCTGCTCGCTTGTGCGGCCCGGAGAGTATCGGCCGTGTCCTGTGGAGGCGCTGGCGCATGGGAAGAACTTCAGCCACATCATAAAATCCTCCATCCCAGCAGCCCACAAATCCATAGTGTCCTTCAAGCAGCTCAGAGAGGATGTGTACGGGGAACTGGTGAACACAGAGCAAGTGGCTGGAGTGAAGTGGACGAGGTTTCTGGAACTCAACAGGATCCTGAAGGGACACCGCAAGGGGGAGCTGACTGTTTTCACAGGTAGAAGGAAAAACTATGTTTTAGAGCCCAGATCAGTGTTTTCTGTATTTCTTAAGTAAAGTTGAAGTCCTGGTTCCTAGCTATTTAAAACATACCTTTTATAGCATCATAAAACATTAAAGCACTAATCAATATTTTATATTAATGGATCGAATCACTATGTGTAATGTGAAAAGTGTCGTAGGTAATGACAAACTGCAGTTCCCTTCAGCTCTACGGAGCATTTTAGCTTCTTTCAGGTCATTGTTTTGGTTTTCTGGCCCACAAACTCCACAGCAGGTAGCAGTTTTCAGCAAACACTATGTTTACACTATCTGTCCATTACCAAACGGCGTTTCCATTGGCTAAAAATCAATGAATGCAGCTTTAACTTAACATTGTTTTTGCCAATTCTGTTTTTAATTTCAGTGTTGGAGCTACCCTCTTTGTTTCTATATTTTAACAAAGTACAACACTACACACAAGGCACTTTAATAAAACTGTCCTGAAAAACAATGATATAATGATAATGAATGATGAGTGTTAATATGAGGTGTAAACACTGGTACATGTCAGTATCTCTTCTCCACTCTGCACAGTTTACAATCAGATACCTGCTGTTTATCTTAATATGTATATTTCTCTGTTTACCAGGGCCTACTGGCAGTGGGAAGACCACCTTTATCAGTGAGCTTGCCCTGGACCTTTGCATGCAGGGCGTCAACACGTTATGGGGCAGCTTTGAGATCAACAACGTGCGTCTGGCTAAGATCATGCTGACACAGTTTGCCATGCAGAGGCTGGAGGAAAACCTGGAGCAGTACGACTTCTGGGCAGACAAGTTTGAAGAGCTGCCACTCTACTTTATGACGTTCCACGGGCAGCAGAACATCAAGTAAGTGTTACCAGTGTTTCAGGCATGTTGTAAGAATTAATTAAACTAAAGGGAGCTGCAATGATCTGTTGATTATTTCATGTGTTGATCGGAAAATTTCCTGGCAACTATTATGGTGATCTATTCATTGACAAAGCCATTGCTAAAAGAAAAATACCAAGCATTTTTTGTGTTCCAGCATCTCCAATGTGAGGATTTCCTGCGTCTCTCTGTTTTATATCATTGTAACTTGAATATCTTTGAGTTTTGGATTGTTGGTTGGACAAAAAAACAAGATATTTGAAGAATTCACCTTGGACTTTGGGGAAAATGGGGATTTTTTATTTTATTTTATTTTTTACTATTTTCTGACATTTTATTGATCAAAGAATGAATCGAGAAAGAAAAATATTGTTTAGTTGCAGCACTTGTCTGAAATACTTAAGAGCTTTACTATAAGTTTGTTTATTGTGAGCTTAATTTGTTTACTCATCTGCAGTGTAATGAAGCTTTTACATGATATAAAAGCAGCATTTTTATATGAATTAATTTTGTCTAACCCTTCTATAGGACAGTAATTGACACTATGCAACATGCTGTCTACCTGTATGATATCAACCATGTCGTCATTGACAACCTGCAGTTCATGATGGGGCAGGAAAACCTCTCAGTAGACAAGTGAGTAAGAGTAAAGTCCTGACAAATGGGAAGATAAACAATTTCTATCCTGTATCTATGTCAGTTTAAATAAAGATGATTCCAAATGCGACTTTTGGGTTTGTTTACTCCACATTGGACTGTGTGGTTTGTTATAGTGTTATAGTGTACAATGAGATCTGAATGGAGTTTTGGTCCAGTTATTTGTGTTTTTTATTAGCCAAATGAAAATTAATATCAGTTTCATGAGGCGCAATACATTTTAAAGTGACTTGCCCGTGACAAATATGGGAATAAATTATGTTTCATGTGGACCAGGTTTGCAGTCCAGGACCACATTATTGGAGCATTCAGGAAGTTTGCCACCAACAGCAGCTGCCACGTCACTCTGATCATTCACCCCAGGAAAGAAGAGGATGACCGAGAACTGCAAACAGCATCCATCTTTGGTTCAGCAAAGGTAAGACAGAGGAATGTTTTATTTTTCTGTGTGACAGTGACAGATACATTTTTCATTCAATTTCAACCTTTTTACCATGATTTGGTGAGATTTCATGAATATATTTGAATAAAATCAGTAACAGAATTTTACTTTTAAACTATTTTATATACAGTGTGGTACACTTCATTTTTTAAAGAGGACAAGGAGAGACGACACAACACAAATAATGTAATGAACAAAAATTTGTAAGTAAAATAAAGTGTGCAAATTGCCAACAAATAATAATAATAATAATAATCCTTATTTGTAGAGCACTTTTCAAAAACAAGTTACAAAGTGCTTTAACAAGTGTAAAGAATAATACAAAAAAAAAAAAAAAGATGAGAGCATGAAAATTTAATATAAAATTAGTAAAATAAAATAAAAGGGATAAAATAAAGTCAAATAAGATCGGGAAAGGCTCTCCTATAAAAGTATGTTTTAAGAAGGGACTTAAAGGAGTTCACTGACTCAGCTGACCTGATTTCCTCGGGCAGGCTGTTCCAGAGCCTCGGGGCCCTGACAGCAAACGCTCTGTCCCCTTTAGTTTTCAGTCGAGACTCTGGAACAGACAACAGACCTCTGCCCGAGGATCTCAAGGTACGTGCTGGTGCGTATGGGACTAAAAGGTCAGAAATATAACAAGGCGAGAGGCCATGAAGAGCTTTAAAAGTGATCAATAGAATTTTAAAGTCAATTCTAAAACATACTGGGAGCCAGTGTAATGAAGCTAAAATAGGAGTAATGTGGTCATATTTCTTTGTTCTGGTTAAAAGCCTGGCAGATGAGTTCTGGACAGTCTGGAGTCGATCAATAGATTTTTGGGTTAAACAGGTGAAAAGGCTGTTGCAATAATCCAGGCGTGATGAGATGAAGGCGTGTAAAATGGTCTCGGTGTCCTTAAAAGTTAACATAGATCGAATTTTAGCTATATTTCTAAGTTGACAAAACATGATTGAACAAGCTTTGTGGTGTGCTGCTCGAAATTTAAATTACTATCAAACCAAACACCAAGGTTCTTTGCCACAGGCTTAATGTGATTTACTAAGGAACCAGCAGATGGCAGTATTTGATTTGCCATCTGCTGGGACCCAATGACCAGGATTTCTGTTTAGTCTGAGTTCAGCTGGAGGAAATTATTTGACATCCATTTTTTTAACTTCACAAAGGCAGTTGTTAAATGAACTCAGCATTCCAGGGTCTGTGGATCTGACGGACAAGTATATTTGTGTGTTATCAGCATAAATATGAAAAGAAATGCCATGTTTATGGATAATATGTCCAAGGGGAAGCAGATACAAGGAAAACAAAACAAGAGGACAAGAGGAGAATAATAGGTTGTACAGTTTAAAGGCACGAGACAAAAACTAAAAATAAGATCCTAATTTACACAGTAATAGAAAATGACACATACATATGCTACACATAATCTGGCTAAACCTGGGCAGTCGAAATAAAATTCACAGCTATTATTATACTTCGTAGTGCTTTTGTTTTACTTGTTTTTGTTTTTCATTTTCGCCATATTAATTTGCTCATGAGTATAATGTGTTTCTTTATTTAGCTAAAGGTAGTGGATTTTAATAAACTTGACTCAACATTATCATGAAAATACATATGTCTTGGCCCTCTTTACAAAGCTGCAGTTATTCGACATAACTAAGACACATCTTGACCTTCAACCCCTTCCAGGCCAGCCAAGAAGCCGACAACGTCCTCATTCTGCAGGAGAAGAAGCTGGTGACGTGTCCCGGCCGCAGGTCCCTGCAGGTGACCAAGAACCGTTTCGATGGAGACGTGGGCATCTTCCCACTGGATTTCATCAAGTCTTCGCTCACTTTCGCTACTCCCATGAAGGGCAAGCACAAGCTGAGGAAGGTCACTGTCAAGCCAGAAAACGAGGAAGGTGAGGAGGTCGAGGTGGTGGTGAAGAAGGAAGTTAAAAAAGAGAAAGCGGCCAAAACAACAAAGATTTCACAAACTATCAACAATCCTGCAACTGGAAATAAAAGCAATAACAATTAATAGGCAGTATGGATAATATTTACTGTTGATCATAGGCCAGTTTTACCAATTACACATTTATTTTTGAAAGTTAGAAACAGAGGAAGTAAAGCTGATGCAGAGATATCATATGAAAGATAATGTTAGACAATTTTATGTCCATAACATAAAGTTCAACTGAGCTGAATATTAAGTATGTTGAAGTAATGCAAAATATATATATTCTAAAATATATGAAATTAAAGCTTTGATTGTTATTCACATTCACACAGATAATACATAGTTAATCCAGGAAAATGTGAGGTTACTAAAGGTTCATTTCATTGTTGAACAAAGAACAAATGTTTCAACCAGCATGTGAAATAATGATTTTAACGTACATGTTAAGCTTCTGTACAGTTTGTAAGGCATTTCTGTGCAGGTACTTCTGTACATAAACACTGAATTCTCTGTTAACTTACTTGTTCTTTGATGTTTTTGTTTGTTGTAAAAAAAAACTGTGACACCAAAGCTGCTGTTTTCATGGTAGTTTTCAATATTTCACTGTAAAACACTGCTTGCCAGGATGCCCCAAGCACTTGCTCATAGCATAGTGTGCTCTCTACTGACATTTTGTACAATGATGATTTATTGAATGAGCTGTTTTTTTTTAAATAAAAGGCTTCTGATGCAGCTTTTTGTCTGTGTTTTCATCGGTGGTCAACAGGGGGCAGTCTGTGCTTCTTAGATGACTTCAAATAGAAGCTAATGAGAATAAACCTCTGTAAATATCACTGCCTTTATTTACTGCCTGCAAAATGCTTATTTGATTTAGCTTTGTCTTTAGGCTTCAGTAGTCACTGTTTTAAAATTGCTAAAACAATTTTGCCTAGACATCTGTATGATTTAGGAGTAAGTGCAAGTGTGACAGTGCACACTCATGCATATTAGTAAGTGATTGTTAACTGCACTGTTCAGAAACACTGCAGTCCTCCTGCGTGATTGCTTTTTATATAAATCTTCATCTTCAAGAACATCAGATATTTGGCTTCCTTTAGCCTTTTCTGCTGAGTGTTACTGCCTATTAACGCTGTTAAGTCGTGTCAGATTACACAAAGGTGATGAGATTCTTATAGGTTTTATGCTCTTGGCCTATTTCTTTGTTTTTGTCGTCAGTCTAAGCCATCTGCAATGTCCCATTACACAATCCGTTATTTGCACGTAGAGTGACTTTTAATGAATGCAAATGTGTTTCAGAACATCTTCATATGAATATTTCATGGGTCAAGTCAATTGCCCTACCTTGCCTGCACTGGTGTGGAGTTACATGTAGAATCAGCAGCTTTCAGAAGTGAGTCTGCATTGTATTGTACCAAAGGCTGCTGCAGGATGTATTGATGGTTGAAGTGCCATATTTCATCACTCACTCCGAAGCCAAATAAATTTCACATTTATGATATAAAGGGAACGGTTCAGTGTGGGAATATTAAAGTGCCTGTGTGTTTGACGTCAGGGCTTTTCCACACAGCAAATTTCTTCTCACCCTGGGAGTCACACTCATTAAAAAATTAAGGATCTTTGCACTTTGGAAAAACTCATTAAGGCACTCTTAGACTCCTGTCGCACTAGAAACAAGCCCATAGATAGAGGCATGAAACATCATCCAAAGGTGACTGTCATATACACCTATATTATACTTGACTTGAGATGGACAGTTTAAAACAAAAAATATCAAAAACTGCTGCCTACATTACCCACAATGCAACTTACCAGTCGACAGTTGGAGATTTGGCTGTGTCATGCTAGTAGCTGCTTATGTAGTCTCGAGCCTCTAGCCTGCAGCAGAGATGAGGAGCGGGCTACAGAGGTCTGGTAAGATCACTTCTTTCTAACTCCAAACCATGTATTTTTAAACCTGTCTTCAACCACAACTGACACTGATTCAAGTGACTTTTATCAGACTTCGCTCAGCCAAAGAATTATATTTATATGGCATTATAAAACTTTTTACATGAGCAGTAGTACCCACTAAGATCTAAAAGCAGACTTTGATGTGTAAAATGAGTTGAGTCCCCCTATAATATTGTTCTGCCATTGTTTGCCTCTGTCCAGAGTTCACAGGATCCGGGGCCTTTCTTTCTGCCTCTAAGATCTTTTTCTGGCTCCATCTCTGAAAGACCAGTCCAGGGAACCTCCTGGCACCACATTCACTTTACACATGGTATGTGGACCCCTGAGCTCTTCGGATAGCTGAAACTGTAAAATATTGTTGTAAGCTGTGGGAATAATTCCTGTGTGTGTTTGATAAACGTAAATCACTGTAGATGAGATGGCAGGAGGGAGACAGTTCCTGGACATATGTGCTTATCAACAGATTTTTGTTCCGTCATTTTTCTCCTCCAAGCCTCCAAGCCTTGCTTAATGTTTTCCTGTGAATGTTTTACTGCTGTGCAAGTACACACTGCTTTCCATAATGACTCCAGGCTGTGCACTGGATGGGTCTGGGTGTCCTCTTGACTGTGTGGGTGTGGGATACGGCTGCTGAGGCCTCTGAATGGGGCTCTTTGTATTTTGAGGCATTACTGCACCCAGATGATGGCGGCTGTCGCTTGCCAGCTCCTCAAAAGAGGGAAAAACACACAAAAATTTAAACGAATGAGTTTGACACAAATGCATGCAAATGCACATGTAGAACTTTCTCAAATACACTCTGTAGCTGTCAGTCATATTTTATAGCACTACTGAGGGTCACCCTAGTAAACTTTCAAAGATATTAGCTTAATATAAGTATTTTATTTCTTTTCATCAAGTAAACAGGTAGAGAAAATATACAACATAGTTAAATACTGAAATCACTGTGTACTTAAAGGGTATGTCTGATTGTTCCCTTTGTTTTGAATGGCCTGTGCTGATCAGAGCTTTGCATGCCTATTCAAATAGCTGCCATCTGGAGAGGGGAGGAGATGAAACAACTTGAGTTATGCAACTCTTAATCATGATGGAAACAAATTGTGCAGAGACCAAAAGAATTCCACTTCATTAAAACGCTATAGGACATGAGAGGATCTGAATCGAATGAGCCTAAGAAAAGATGTTTCAGCTGCAGATAAGCCCTCTCCCCAATGAAGTATTTGACCTCAGATCCACCAAAAACATCATGATCAGATGTCATAATGAAGAGTATTAGAAATACTCTACATCTACTCCATAAACTGATTCCACAAACAAGAAAAATCCAGGTCAGCGAAAAATGAACTCGAGGCCCCAGCTTCTCCCGGCACTGCTGATGATCGGACGCATGGATACATGACATGCATGCATAGCTCTCTGCCCCATTAGCTGCCCTTCTTTTGACCAAGTCTGGACGTAATTTCAGGACCTTCAATCAGAGTTAATCAGCCAGGGGCTTTTGCGCTGCAAAGGGATTTTACTCAACGTCCATGGGATCATATTCAGAGTATTTCCATCTGATCTTGGTAATGATATTGGGTTACAGTATTGTCTTGATCAGAGCAAGGACAGTTCAGCGTTTTAGAGTATTTTGGAGGAAATCAGCAACAATGAAGCTGCAGTAAAAATCATCTTTATTCTTTATTAAATATAAAATAATAGTTTGACATTGGCTTTCTTGTTGAGATAGATGTTGGATGAGGAGACTGATACCACGCTCAAGTCTTTATGGTAAAAATGGTTAGCTTAGTTTTGCCAGGGAAAACAAAAAACTAAAGTGTAAAAACCGTATGTGGTTTTACAGGTGCGGGACCATTTCTTGGCTGGATGCACTGACTACCCAGAGAATAATTAAGTAAGTAAATAGTAATTTAGCTGACGCTTTTATCCAAAGCGACTTACCATTGCTATATGTCAGAGGTTGCACACCTCTGTGTGTCTTGCTCATGAAGTGTCTCCCACTGTGTGCTTTCTGTCTTTGATCCAACAGCAGATTCATTCTTTGTAATGAATTTCTGCCTTTATTGAAAAGCACACTACACTAAATTGGAGAGAGAGAAAATATTCAAATGACATACACACCAATATCGTCTTCTTTAGTAAACTATGAACAATGTGCACCCATGAGATTATCATAAACACACTTGAATCATATAGCCTACACTAACAAAGTGGAATTTAGCTGAGATTATTTTGTCAACTGCTATGTCTAAGGTCAAAAATTTACTTCACGCTCAACTTTCAAGCCTAAGTGAAGTCAAATCCTTGACTTTGTTGAACATGCGTGGAGAACCAGTCCAGTAGGGATAAATGCATAACAACAGGTAAAGTCATTCTTAATATAAATTAATTTCAGTTTTAAATGCATTTTGAAATGTATCTAAACATCCTAGGACTGAGTTTTGATTCTGTTTGAAAAACCCCAATTTTGAAGCCTAAAGAGAGAGTGAGAACATTATTTGACCCAGACTGGCATTAAAATAGAAAGTGTGACAAAACATGCTGGAAGAACATTTAGTGCATGGAGGGGTAGAGTGTGTATGTAGAGCAAGTTCATCAGTACACTGTGTCTGTGACGTTACAATTTCTCCTTTTGAAACAAGCACTGTAACTTTTCCTATCTTTTAAGTGGGACCCAGTACCTCAACAAGGATCAATGCGCAAGTCTTGGATTGGATGCAATGGCTCCTCTGCCAATTTGTCTGAAATGTTCATAGGCAACACCATCCCCATCATAGTAACACAAAGCGCATGCCTTGTTTCTTTGTGTATTTACAGCCACAGCATGCTGAGGACACACATCACTTGCAGACAGACCAGAGGCCGTTTCAGACTCAAAGCTGATTCAAGATGCCCCACCATCCCCTTGATGTCAGGACATGAGAGCGTCAGGGGGTTACTCTGCCTCACTTACTCACATGCACGTTGACCCACATTACCCAACAGTGTGCTACCGCTCCTGTGTATATTAATAACCACGTGCACATCCTACCCTCTGTGCTCAGACCAGGAAAAGGCTTCATGTTTCAGCTCATTATGTGAAACCTATGGACTAATGCTATTCTACCTTTTTGTTATTGCTAATTCCATGAAAGCCAAAGCCTGATATATCTTATTCTTCCATGCCATATAGCTCCATTATTGTCCAGAAAACAATTTAAAACACATCAGTGAGCCACACTGTAGCACTGGGTGCCATGTTCTTTCAGTACCACGAACAAACACGCATACAATGTAGTTTATTCTGACTCAATCCCTACATACCTCATCCTACTGCCTCAAATAAATGTGCAAATAAGCAACTGTTTGCTAACAACTTTGCCCTATTAACTTAAAAGCTGAGTGTACACAGTACTTGATTAAAAAACTATTTTGTCATTTATTTCTGCTCATGTGTGTCAACCTGATACATTTGTGACTCAAAGTTAGTGGCTCTGATCTATAAAGACCTTTGTGAGTCACAGAAAAGTGGAGCTGAGTGTACTGAACGTGAGCTGGACCCCGTCTGAAAATACCTGCTGTGCTTTACCTCTCTGTGGGTGGCAGGCAGAGTGGTTCACCTACAAACATCTAAAGGTCAGCCAACATGTACAGTATGTGTATTTGTATGCACTCATATTGAGCTGCAGTCTGTTCTTGCAGGTCCCGTTACCTTTTCGGGTTACGTGGCCCTCCTGATCCTGATGATGAAGTTAAACTGTCATGTAGCAATGTCAATGGACCTTTAGCTGACCATCCACCCCAAGTGACAGAACTGTGCTGTAAACACCTGCCTGTCTCAGTGTGCTTGACTGGCCATGTTCTGCCTTTTGAACACGACAGGGAAAGCTTTTGAAAGACACCAGCGTGCCCGGGGCTTATGTAACACTGAGATCTGGCCAAAGAGAATGCTGAGGGGCTTAATCTGCCCTGGCACCATGGGTGTGGAGGCTGTTCAAGAGCCCTGAGGGGACTGGAGAGAGTGAACCACCATCTTACTCTGCAGTTCTGGCTTTTGTGGATGCTGGAAAAATCATAGAGGTTAAATGAGGGGGCAAATGAGGTGACAATAAGAACATAATTACAGTGGTAGGAATGGTGGGTTTGTGGTCAGGAAAGTGGAGTCTAAGGTGGATGGAATATTTGAGCAAACTGTAAAATAGGGTTTTAAAGAGCCATCTCTGTTTTAATGAGTGGAGGGCCTCATTCCTCTTAAGCAAGTGGTCAGAATTACACCGGGGATAAGTGGGGCTCCTGGCAGGGCTCCAGCAACTCACACCAGACTTTCTTTTCATTTACTCTGAGAGCGAGAAAAGCAGAGAAAGGGAGATGGAGACAGCTTTGCCCAGCCAACCAGGCATACCCCACAGCCAGGCCAAAGAAAATGCCCATTCACTCTCACATTAGCCGTCTGCATGGCCACCTTCAAAGGAGGTCCCTCTCTGCCAAATCTTCTCAGACTGTGTGCACACACTGACTGGCTGCCTCGTGAAAGCATGAGTGCAGAAAACCAGTGCCAGTGATTGCCCTGTGCAGCAGTTAATTGAAGTATTATCAACATAAGCACGGTCAGTTAAGCTGATTATATAACAGTGCAGAATCCTCCATCGAGATGCATATGAAATAAAGCCAAGCGCTTTAAGTCACTTATGAATGGTGAATGTTATAATTTCAAGAACATTTCAGTTTTGGTAGTGTGCAGAAAACACAGACTAACAAATGTGGCTGGAAAAGAGTTTTTGGCGATCTATTGAATATTCCTCTCATACTCAGCATGGAATAATTATTATGATTAATTAAGCTCCTTAATTCAAAAAGAACAACATTTGATAATGTGAATCAAAATGAGTGCACTATTCAATAAATGACTAAACAATTCCATTGGCACAGTGATACCCAGATTAGATGGCTGAGGGAGTCTTTGGCACCTCGCAGCTCTATAGCCAATAACGACAAAAGAAGCTGAAAATATGCAGAAACTAAACACACAGAGCCAACATGGAACCATGCCAAAGATGTTAATATTCATATCAAGTGACATGTTCTGAATATAAAGCTGAAGTTGTTTTAACTGAACCTGCAGAATTGCGTCACACATCACTCCTGTGTAACATCTGTCTCTTGGAGATTAGTGGTGACAAGGAGGGAAATGTGTAGACCATTACTGATTGCTTCGTCACTACAAGACATATGGAATTGTGATTCATAATCAACTTGTTCTTGATTAGGAGAAGCATTAAAAACATATGCTCCATTCAGCAGATGGACAAACGCTTTAATGTGAGTGACTTAATAACAATACAGACTATGCAGCTTCCATGGAAATACAGTTTATAGCTGTAGTCCATCAAAATTGTCATTGTCAGTGTCACATTTTCTGTACTCTCTCTTTGATGCTGTTATTTTTCTGAATGAGGTTTTACATTTTCAACCACATAATTTTAAAGATATATCAATTTTGTGTTTTATGGCAGATTTTAAACGTTCAAAATTGTTTGTTAGCTTTGCTGAGCCGTTAATGACACGTCAGACAACACTCATCAGATATATTATCCATCTGTTCTCAAAGTAGGCAAAGGATGAACAATGCATGTCTTGTCAGGCCAGATGCTCCTTTCAGGTATGGATGGTGAAGACAACTTTACAGTTATTTTAATATGAGCTGAACGTACCGTTCCTCTTCTTTATCAACTCAGTTTTTGATAATTGAGTGATGGCCTGTCATAAATGTCAAATTGTGTTTTTCAAATGCACAGGAACCATCTCATGTGGAAAGACAGCATCCATAACTCTTGCAACCATGTGTTTCTGATCAATTTTACAAACTAAACAGGCAATAGGAGGAACTCTACAGTTCACAACCTTTGCAGAATAGCTACAATAATCTTCACTCTTCCACCTATTTACTCTGTTATTCTCTCTGTACTTTGCCTGTATCATCTTAGATTTGCTACCTTAGAATCTTAGAGTAAGGGTGTACTTCATTGTTGACTGTTAGTTTAGCTTCTAGCCTAGCCTAGCTTACTAGCTTAGCTTTCATTAATCCACAATTAAAGTAGATGGCTGTGTCTTTACCCTCCTCTTTAGTTAGTATAATTATTGTTTACAACAAATTAGGTCTTACATTATATATGTTTTGGCCATAATTTACACCAAATGGAGACTGTACTCCCAATAAGGACAACAGCATCATTCATCATTTCAAATGACACATTCAAATGACTAAGCTTTCTATCAGCCATAGCAATTATCAAAAGAAAGGAGAAAGTAAGGTGACATCACAAGATTGAGGTGGATGGATGGATCAACAAAACATTGGACTTCAACACAGTAGAATAGTAGTTTGTTTGCAGCAAAACCTTAACCATTCTGTCATGTCATAAAATGGACAAATGATCTCATCCTGCTGAAAGAGGCATCAGGTCTGAAAGCATTGTAGAGGACATCGACAAACTATGTATTTTGACGTTTAATTTAGAGGACTTGTTGCAAAAATGAGCACCCCCACAAAGTATTTGGAATAGAAAATGAAGATGAACAGTGAGCTTATTCCTCAAACATCCATCACGGTTTACAGACCAACTTCTTGATTCAGCTTTGACCTACCATATTTCCTGAAGTTGTGCACACACACTTTTCCTGTTCAACAAGAGACTATTACATTTTGGGTGTGCTTGCTTTCAGTTTTACTTTCAAATAAAGAGAATGCTTGTTTAAAACCTTTCTGATCGTCAAATGCTTGTTTTTCCTGCCCTGTTGGAATTTGTAGTATCGATGTTGTTGTGTTCCCATATCTTGATTTCATAACTGATAGGAATGATGTTCCAGAATATTAAAATAAGTTGTGATAAAGTAAAATTATTATTTAAACTAGTCACATGAATTCATGTTACTGTAGTTGCACCACTCAAACACCTGTTCACGATTAAATAAATACCAATAATTTGCTGGTGTTCATATTGTAACAAAACAACCTTTCCATTTACTACTGGGGTGAGGATGGATCAGTAGCTAAGACACATGCCTTTGGTGTGAGAGCCCTGGGTTCAATTCCCCACTGTGACACCTCTACCCATGTGTCCCTGAGTAAGACACTTAAACCCTAGTTGCTTCAGAGGCGTGTGACCTCTGACATAAATAGCAAAAATGTAAGTTGCATTGGATAAAAGCGTCAGCTAAATGAATAAATGTAAATGTACAACTGAGTCAGTGGGCTTGAAGGCAGGTTAAAGCGCAAGTCACGTGGTTTTGTGTGTTCCTCTCCTGGACTCCCAACACTGTGAGAGCAGCAGATCGAGGTAAAACAAGCAGTTTTTTTGGATTCAGGTGTCAGCATTTGCCTTGTTCCCCTACTTGTCATTCACACAGTTTGCTTTGGTTAAACTCTCCGTCTTACTGAGCATTGCTTTCAGCTAGATTCCATTTGGCATGTTGCTGGGGATTTTGGATGCGAATGCTTCCTTGTTTCTTTTAAGGTGTAATATTTCATATATTCCATTTTTAAACATACTGACAATACAAGTTTTTATTAGTTTTATTGTTTTTCTAACTGCAAACAAATTAAACAAAGTACAAATGCTGAGAGACGAACGCTGCAGAATAACTCAAGAAAAGAAACATGTGGTGGTCCGTGCATAAAGACACATAAGCAAAGGGAACTTGGTGTGTCATCTACAGAAAATACTGTACATCATGTAAATCAAATGCAAAGTGCACAGAAAAGTTTATTTTCCTGCTTTCCTCTGCACTTGCCTAATGTATCGTAATGGAAAGAGTAGTTTCACATTCAGGAAATGGACTCTCATATAGCGGAGATCTAGGGGCCATTTCTAAGTGAAATGAGCTGCAGCATCATCGACCTATTATGTTTCACCAATTATCTCCATCCGGCATGTTTATGAATAAAATGAGCTCCTCAGTGGCTGCAGAGAGGGGAGGTCATTATCAGACAACACAACATAATTGCAGATGGGCTGGCCGCTTTGGGCAATGATAGGAATCTTGGGCATGCACACCCTGGACAAGCTTGAAGCAGAGAGCAGCAGGAACACAATGTCCCCATGCTCGAGTGGAGAAGAGCAGACTCAGAGGTTTGATTTTGGGAGTCATTATCAACAGACACGCTGCATTCAACCCACACACGATTATCAATTACAGTAACAACTCTTCTCAAATCCTCTCGTGGCCAGATAAGTGCAATTTCCCTGCATTCCCATCAGGCCTGGTTGCTGGAGCTCCACAAAGCTTTACAAAGCCGCCCAGTTCAGTAAATCCAATTTCCTTGCAAATGGATTTCAGCTCTTTGAATACTTGAGAAATGTGCTATATACACACAGTGTATCTAGCCAATCTAGGTAAACAAACAGAGGTGTGTGTGTGTGTTTGTGCTAGACAGAGATAAATTTGTTAGCTTATATGCAGAAACTAAATAGTGGGTATGTCAAAAGTAGGCATGGATTTAAAAGAAAATGAATTGTCATGTCAATCCATGTTTGGCAACACTAATGTTTATGGGAATGTTTTTCTCTTGTAAATTCTATTTTTTGTGTGCAATAGGCTACTAGCCCTAATTTGAAATTTTCAAGTTTAAATGTGCTTTTAGTGTACTTTTGCTCTAGCTAACTAGCACTAAACTAAGATGGTGAACATATAAATATTATACCTGATAAAACATCAACAAGTCAGCATCGTCATTGTGAGCATGTTGTTGTCATTTAGCTCAAAGCCTATGTACAGCCTCACTGGGCCACTTTAGACTTTCAATGATGTTTGTGGCCTAGTTTTTGCAGCCCTGAAATGTTTTAATGACAATGCTGGACTATGCTGTATTGTGAATGTGATTGATTTAATGTCAATAGCAAGTTTAGGCAACTAAAAGTATTTTGACAGGGCAAACAGGGAATTTTAATTATTAGCTACACTGCTTCTTATCTTATTTTCTTGCCCATGTGAGAAAAACATGGTGACATTCACCACCACAGATAAAAAAAATCTCTCTGTGGGACTATGTATAGCCTTTTTTTTACTCCTCTGGAGCAGAAAGGCTTACCTGAGAGGGTTGAGGTTAGTCAGATACGACCTTGTTCTACATATTTAGAATACAGAGCAAAGAACCGGTTGTGCTGGAACAGGCTGGGAATCTGGGGTACTTCATCACAAAACATTGTATTGTAGAGGCCTCAGTAGGCCTACTTAATCCCTTTACAACCCAAACTTCACTGGTTCACTTTATTCAGTCATTACTCGACACTGCTTAAACATCAATATGTGTCTAATAGGCCCTAATAATGACTATGTCAGCAGGATATGTATTGTATGATAGTATGACTAGTCTGATGGTGTTAGTAAAATGTTTTTAATATTTATGTAGAATTACAATAGACCCATGTTGGGCCCAGAGAGGGTACTTGGCTTTAGGGCAGATTCTGAGCAAAAGTGTGCCACTACTGGTGCTTGCAGGGTAATGGTGTGTGTGTTTGTGTGAGAGCAGTTCAGTGGTGCATGGAGCGCCTTACAGACGGGATAATACCGGAAGTCAACAAGTTGGCGTTCAAAATAAAAGCATGCAATTATTTTAAATGAAGAAATTATTTCTCTAACCCGTGTCAGCGAGAGTAGGCTAAATATCTGAAACACCACTCAGTATAAGAACTGTTTTAGCTAGATGTTCCTAATAAACTGGCAAGTCGATTGGGTTACATTTACACTTTTTTAACTTCCATTGAAAAATAACTTTTCCAATACTGTTTTTCACTATACATACATTTCTGATGTGTTCAGTCATGTGATTATGTGATTCCCAACTTGTGTTTTGGGAGATAGATTTGAGGGCTCACATGAAAAATCTGTGGTGGAATGTGATCAAGTATATTTACTCAAGTAGGCCTACTGTAGGCATACTTAATTTGAGGTACTTATGATTTACTTCTGTCTTTCCATTTTATGCAACTTTATACTTCTAATCCACCAGGTTACATTTCAGAAGGCAAATGTTCTTTTTACCCCACTACATGTCTCTGACTGCTTTAGTTTCTAGTTACGTGTCAGATTAAAAATTTTCAAACCCTTCCTGTCTTTACTTTTTCTGATAAAGATTCATAAGTCTTCCTTTATGGGCTGAGAAAATTCTTCTACTTCTTAAGCTAAAGAAAACAATTACCCCCCCCTCCTTTTTAGAGACACATGGTTCTCACAGGACAGTGACCCTACGAATATCTGGTGATCTTATAGAATATGATTCATTGGTAGATTAAACTTCTCAACATATAAAGTAGTTATAATTAGCACAATCTTAGATATCTGCAGCGGTAAAAAGCAACATGCATAGTAAAGCAGCAAAAATGTTAATCCCAAACCATCGCTGTGCAAATACATCCATTGATACTGCTGGACACATCTTCAGTGATGTTCCTGGAATCATTGGGTGTTTTGGGTCTTTCAACATCATACACCCTCATCCAGGCGACCCAGCTGAGGCTGATCAGACCCCAGCTTGTGTTGCCAGTTGGCAAATCTAGCTACCTTGCCCCCAAAGATCTCTTCTCTTGAGCCATAGCCATCTTGAGGCTTTCTCTGCCGCTTTGGTATTGTGGATGGCTCTTCTCATCCTCACTCCATAAATTCCTAACAGACTGAAGGTTCTCAACAGGGATCGGGCTGCAAAGCCCCTGCATCCGACCTCTATTGTGAGACACCTTTCTCTCCATCCAGCTTGTCGACACTCGCTGACTAGTCCTTCGTACTTAGCGAGCTTCCTTTCAAAGGCCTCTTCCAGGCGGTCTTCCCAAGGGACTGTTAGCTCCAACAGAACCACTTGTTTGGTGGACACAGACAAGAGAACAACATCTGGTCGTAAGGTGGTGGTCACAATGTGGTTGGAGAACTTGAGTTGCTGCACCAGATCCACCAACAGCTGCCAGTCCCTCGCAGTGGCCAGGATGTCTGCAGATGTTTTTGCAGTTGATCTTGGCTGCTCTCCAGCTTTGATGAAGGTGATGACTTGGAGGGGCAGGAGCGCTTAGCCCACTCAACTCCTGCAGCAATGGCTTCAGCGATGGCCTTCAGCACCTGGTCATGTCTCCACCTGTACCTTCCCTCTCCCAGTGCCTTTGAGCAGCAGCTCAGGTTTGATAGGCTGGGAAGCACATCATATACCACCTGGATGAGAAACTTGATCTGCTGTGGCTCTGCCTTCCACAGCTTTGCCCATGTCACCTCCCTCTCGATCGCGTTCTCCCGTCGTCGTATCCAGGCACCCTTTTGCCTCATTCACACTGTTCTGCAGGTTCTCTCATCCTCGACCACTGCTCTCACGTCCTCCTGGACTAGGCGGCACCTTTCCTTCCCTTTGGTGGTGTCAATGTGGGGAGTTGAAAAGGAACTCAGTCCAGCCCTGCCTCTTGTTACCACTCCCACCAGCCTGTTGTGATGTAATCTTGCCTCTGCTTGTCGAACAGCCCCCTCAGCCTTCCACTTCTGACCAGTCCTCACTTCAACCCCAGCCTTTGCCACCTTTAGATCGCTTGAGTCTCTATATTGCAACACTTCCCTGGCTCTCGTTACCTTGAACTCCTCTTCCAAGGACTTGAGTGGCAGTTGCAGTTGAGTCCTCTGACTCTGCTGGGGATGTGATGTTTTATCAGAGTGAGCTGCACAAGCTTCTGTGGTATTGAGCCATATGCATTTGCCAGATCGAGCTACAGCACTGACAGATTGACCTTTTCCTCTCTGGCCTCTCTGATGAGCTGCATCACCACACCTGTGTGTTCCAAGCATCCTGGCATTCCTCCGATTTCCCCCTTCTGAACTGATGTGTCGATAAACCTGTTCTTTCAGAGGAAGGTGCACAGCCGTTTGGAGACAGCACTGAAGAAGATCTTGACTTCGACACAACAGGGAGATGATGCGGAACTGGTCAATCTTCTTGGAGTTCTCCTCCTTTGGAATCCAGACCCCCTCAGCAACTCTCCACTGTTCAGGAATCCTGCCCCTCCTCCAGATAACACGCAGGATCTTCCACAGGCACAGTAGGAGTTTAAGACAGTTCTTGTACACTTTGTGCGAAGTGCCGCTTGGTCCTGGAGCAGAGCTTGCTCGCGCTTTCCTGACAACCTCTCGAACCTCCTTCAGGTGCAGCTCTGCCATGTTGAACTGCACACTTGGCCCAGGAGGGTCTATCAGCATGCTGCACTCCCCCGACTCCTTTTCCCTCGCTGAGTCGCTGTATGTTTCCTTCAGGTGGCCGTTACGCTTCTGTCCTAGCAGCTCCTTAGTGAACTTGAAGGGGTTGATTGTCATGGCTTGCAGTTTCCTGTCGACATCTCCCCTCATGCTGGCCTCCAGAATCTGGTCAACTTCGATGTCTAACTGGTTCCACAGTGAGATCATGTTAGCTGCTGGCCACTTGATCCGCCTCCTCTCAGACTTGATGCTGGAGGTATTCATTTTCAACACTTGGAGGTTCCGGGCACTGTGGGGTGACTCCGAGCCTGGCTCCTCCTGCGTCTCACCAGGTTGAACCTGTGCGTTGTGTTGGTCCTGTCCTCACCAGGCATCATATATAATAGTAAAATACTGACATGGACTATTTTTCTGCATAACGAGTACTTTTGATACTCAGCAGATGTTGATGGTAACACCTACATACCTTCATTTTGCCTAAGTAAGGATTTAAATGCAAGACGTGTAGTGGAGTAAGTGTAGAACTTTTACTTAAGTAAATGATTCTGTACACTCCGCCTTTTTGTGTGAAATCGTGGATATTTTTACCTCCTCAGGCTACCAAAAAACTCTCAATCGATCTCTCAGTCAAACCCCAGGCTTCTCCTGCACCGCAGTATTATTGAACCCATCCTCCTGTGCTGTGCTACCTGCTACTTCATGTTGCTCTCTCTCACCAATAGGAACAATCTTCTTAATTTACTAAAAAATCACTAACACTTCCTCCAAAACAATTGGTCTTCCCTTTCCCAACCTGCCAGTCGTCACTGACATCGACACTGCTCGCAGAATAAACACCATAGTATAAAATCCCAGCTATCCTCTCAATGCACGCTTCATTCCCCCTTCTCCCCTCAGGCCACAGATACAGACAGCTACTATACAAAAAAGCCTCTTTGGGGAAAAGTTTTGTACCCTGCGCTATAAGAGTGTTAAACTCACAGACAAATTCATGATATTTTGTTGCAACTGCCACTCCTGTGTAAAATGTGTAGATGTGTGTACAATATGTGTGTAGTATGTGCGTATAAACCGTGCGGAAGGTTGCTCTGTGAAAACAAATTTCCTCCATCAAGGACAATAAGGAACGAATCTGAATCTAATATAATATGAGAAGGAAAGAAAATCACTCTTGAACTGCTCACAACAAATTATCACAAGTTAAAGTGGATCATGGATCATGATGACGCTTTTTACACTTGAGGAAATAGGCTATCTTATTCTGAAAGCCATACCGGATGTGGTTGTTACTTCTCTCGCCAGCTTGCCTCTGGTTTCTCAACACAAGCACCGCCTGTCCAGTTCCCCGCACAACAACAAACGCGCTTTCCGCGGCGGGAAGAGAAGCAAAGGAGAGAAGGAAAGAAACACATTTAACACATATTTTAGTTACAGACACCTTGGTAAAGTTACGAGTTTGTGGATAAGACGATTTAAAACGGACAAAGAGCCCGTCTCATCCAGGTTTTCTCAGCAGACTTTACAGAACAGAGAAGCTGCTTCGGACTGTCCACTTCATGGTAAGTTAGGATTTCTTATACTGTAACTGTTAACTTACTTATAAGGATAATGTAAAGAGTGAAAGGGTTTTGTCGACGTTGAAGCTGTTTAACTACATGCGTGTCCTGCTGCAGCCTCATAGGTAGGTTGAAAGTAATAACAAGTCAGCCCGTCCCTCTGCACAGGTGCGTGGAGGTTCAATTAATTAATTCCTCAGGGTTGCTGTTGTGCCATTTTAGATAAATAACATACACCAAAAACATACACTGTCACTGGAGGAAATTCAGTGCAAGTCTCCCAAACAAATCCTTTCACAATGTAAAATGCCACCTGGAGGCACCCTTAAAGTCTTTGTGGTCCTCTCTTTAAAAACCGCATTTTATCAAACGCGTGCATCAGGCAGGTTGAGTGGGTTTAGACATAACAAAGTGCCTCCTACTGTAACTATATCCAGACTCATTTCCTGCACAGACTTCAGCTTCAGTCCAGATCATAAATAAACAAATTCCTTATCATGGACCCCGCATCCATCTCCTTAAAACAAATCTTATTGCTTTTATCTTATCTGGATACTGCTCCCTGTACTGCCACGCAATTGTGAAGTCTAGGGACTTTATTTCTTGGCTAATTTTATTATTAAACATATTTATCTTTGTCCCTTATGTCTACACATGAAGGCAAATGCCACTGATTTAAGACACGCATATTATTTTTCTGGTTTAGGACTATTTGTCCAGTGACAGTGAGAAAGTTCCACTTTTTCTTAAAGCTGAAAATCACAAAGAAAATCCCTAAACTTGCAGCATCATTTGGGAACTGGAAATCTAGGTCTGTTTCATTGACAATGAATGGGGTGCTGACTTTGTAGGAGCTAAAAATGCTAAAGTATGTTGTCATTCTAGTTCTTTTAGCAAGTATGGAGCAGAATTTAAAAAATGTTTTTGGGTGCAAGAGCTCACAAAAAATCTAATATGGCTGCAAACAGAGTACACTATTCATTGTCTATGGGAACAGTGGCAGCATTTACATCCCAGTGACAACACAAAACAATCCAGTCTATTTTTCAGGTTGTATGTAAGAGAAAGTGGTTCAATATTGGCTTACCTGCCTTGGGGCTCAGCAATAACAAATGTGAATTCTTAAAATGAATGGCATTCCCCCTCTGACGCTGTCTACAAACACTTTTGGCTCGACACAGAGGTACTTTTCATGGTATTATTACTTTTCCAGGTGATGGTACGGACCAGAACTCCACAGCTTATGTTTTACTAGGAGAAACAAGAATATAACTCAGTGTTTTGCCCACAAAAGTTAGCTTGTTAGTAAATTCAGTCTCTTTTTGGACAGATTTATGGTGCATATCTGCACCGCAGCTCTGTGCTGTGTTTATAACAAAGAATTCTCGAGTGTGCTCATTTAAGTAATGAGGTTAAAAAAACCCACCTCGTCTATTTTTGTGTGCAGCTGCCTCATCTGTAAACAAAGGCAGAATGCTTGGAACAAGATGATGATAACATGACAAAGAAGAGCAAACAAACTGAAGCAGAGGATCTCTCCCAGCTCCAGCCCCGAATCCCTAAACTCTGCAGGATGAGATATTCAAATGTCCTCAGCCTAAACACACACATAGGTCAAGTGCTTACCTCAGCAAGTTTGAGAAGAGCGGACTGTGAGTCTTTACAGTGAGAGGCCACAGTTTATTTGCATTGATAATTTCTCAAGTGACTTATAAGCACATCCCTCAGAGGAACCGCTTCGTCAGGATATCAGGGTAGGGTAGGGTAGATTAGCATCTGTGTCTATGCTTTGTCTGTTACAAGACTGCATGTTTTGGGTTTGATAGTAAGGGTGGGTTTTATTGCCATAAAATAATATCAGAATATTTCAGGATACTGCGATAACAATAATCTTGACGATATGACAAAATAAGGAAAAATAGTTTTTGATAGGAGATATACATGAAATACTGTTGTATTTCCGCCTTTTGTTGTTAGTCTTCTTGCACATTTTTCAAATTACCTATTTTTTTTTTTTTGTAACCATACCACTTCCACACTAATGAAGTCGCGCCCCTTTTGTAAATACCTCTTTCACCGTGCAGCAATGCTAGCAATGTTACTTGTTGCAGTGTGTATCGATGTGACCTCAACATTAACTAGTTGGAAATTTGCCTTTTGTCACAATGTGAATTCTTTCATCATATTAAAAAAATCTACCCATATTTGAGCAATATGATGTGGCACATCCCTATTGGATAAGTGTGTCTAATCTGAATCCAGTATTACATCTGCGTATCGAATCTGAATATTGATTTTATATTACACTCACTACGGCAATAAACTAACGTTTTCAACAAATGTTATAGGGCTGGATATTGCATGAAACCTTCCAGTAGAGTGGCAATAAAATACCTGGGTTTTGGCACTGAAACCAAAATTATACTGTGTTTTTTTTTTTTTTTCAATACCATAGTTTGGGGAATATACATTTTTAATTTGCCAAACTACTAATGAATCACAATAAAAAAAGAAATCTATAGAACTAAAATGTAGCCTAATCTGAAAGGTTTCCAGATTTAAGCTTTTTTGTCATTCAACGCCAACTTTAGTTTCTTGACACGTTTGTAGTTTGAGGAATGATCTTTTGATGGCGCAGCATTGCTAAAAAGAGGTTGGACAAGGAGGAGTCTGACAATCAGACAGGTTTTAAACAGACCCCATGGTTAAATTTATTTGGCAGATAAAAGGAAGGTGAACCGTAACATTATGACCCAAACTGTCCTTTTGTAAACATCCATCACAGCTTACAGACCAACTTCCTGCTTCAACTTTGACCTGTTGGTTTTCACAGTTTTCCTGTGCAATGAGAAATTATAACACAATAAAATGATTTAGATAACCTGGCTAAACTTTTGGCTTGTTTATTACAACCTGTAATAAATTGAACTCCCTTTAATATAGATGTCAAATGTTAATTTTACCAGCTTCTTCACTTCCTCATTAACATATTCCCTAATGTGTTCCTTCATCAGAGTATAAGCTGCTGTGTGCCTTGTTTTTTGAGCCTATTTATGTTTGGCATGAGATGACCTCTTATCTTTAGACTAGTAAAATAATAATAATTTAAAAAATACAATACTTGTAATTGATGGTGGCAAATATGTACATACCCCTCGAGCATAGCCTCGAGCATTAAAGCCATTATCATCAAATGATTCTCTGAAGTAGCAACGCCTCACCTTTTCACGTGATAATTACTGTAAGGGGTTGTTAAAGTAATGCATTCATTATCAATCATTGCAGAGCAGGCCTGTAACATGTGAACAACCTTGAGGTACAGACTGTGCTGGCAGTTGAAATAGTTGTTAGCAGTGGGAGAAATGTTTAGAAAAGCATACCTGAGTGTGTGCGCACACTATGTGTTCACGTGGGTGTATGTCTTTATGTGTACAGACGATAGTCATGCCTGTTAATAATCTATTTGTAGGAAAACACCCTCTAGTTTGACTTAGTGAGACAGGGATGGAGGTGTGAGTGTGTATGACCATGTTTCATAATAGATAATGTATCTTCTGTGAGTAATACTTCTGTCGTGCTGCTGTGAATATTGCCCTTGAACCGTTTTAAACTGAAGGTCACGTCTCCCCCATTCTTTGTATTCGGCTGCGATAACCGTCTCCTTGAAGAATGAATATGAAAGAGGAACTTTTTAGAAGACAAGACAACAATGGGAACACAGTGGGAGGTGTTTTGCTGTCAGGCATGAAGGCTGTGTTGTGTTTTTAGTTTTCCTGAGGGCCCATCATGTCAAATGAAATGCTGACTTAGTCTTTTGTGGGTTGCTTTGTTTATGTGGTGTCCCATTGTGTTGACTTTACTGTCCTGTCGCTGGATGCTTGCTGTAATTAGTGATGTTGCACAGTTTCCCACACCACAGTGTTTAAAACTGCCTGAAATAATATTCTGCAACTGTGGCTTTTCAATGAGACATGATGCAAAATAGGCTACAGGCTTGTGTCTGTTTAGTCTCTACACGACTAAAGAAGTAATGCATCATGAGTTGAAGCTTCTGGAAATATGTTTTAAATGTCTTCAGATGTAATTCTGCTATAGCACAATTGTCATAGTACTGTTGGCAGACCGCTGGTTGTTAGGGATCTGCTGTCACAACACACTGTATAAAACTCAGGCAATATGCTGAATCCACAACACATCCAGTATTGGCCTTCACCGTCAGTCCTCCTTTAGAGCATGCGCCAAATAGATTTTCATCTAGTTTCTAATGTTTCTCTGAAACCTGTGTGGAATACAAATGCTGCGACATGGTGATTTAGATCTTATCTGATTAAGTTATCAGTCACAGAAATCTGTTTTTTAAAACACAGCTTGACCTTGGTCTGCTGGGTGCATGTGTCTGTGAATAACATCCGGGCAAATCATGTTCTTCTAGCCATGTCAACACAAACCGTTGACTAAAACCCATTTTTTAAAAATATAATTTATCTGCCAATGTTAAATCCTAAACTTTAATCATACATTTATTCTTTGTTATATCCAATTTATAGTTGTTTAATGAGTTCGTTCAGTCCTTTGTTAAAAGACCAGGTGCTATAAATAAACTAGAGTGGGGTAACAGCGTTCCTGTAGGGAAAATTCCTGAATTGTGTGCATTTCTTTACTCAGAAATAATTTAGCTGTAGCGCAGACCTTCAGACCACAAAATAAGTTATCTTGTAAACAAACAGTAATGTTTACAGTCATTCTCACCAAAACACACTGTGTGCATCTTTAAGTCTTCTGGTCAAACATGTTGAATTTTTAATCCTCAAAACATTTTCAAACCTGATTTATATTTTTATATATATAAAATATATTAGTCCAGCATTCTTCTTTTTCTTCTCTGCTGTTTTTATTTGCGCTTCACCACCACCGTCAGTAATTGGAATAGGACTTATTTATTTAGCAGCTGCACTGCCCTGCAGTCAACACTTTACTTTTACTCAACCATGTGGTTTTAGAAC